ACGCTATACAGCACTATACATGTTCTCTTAACGTTATACAGCACTATACATGTTCTCTTAACATTATACAGCACTATACATGTTCTCTTAACGTTATACATCACTATACATGTTCTCTTAACTTTATACAGCACTATACTTGTACTCTTAACGTTATACAGCACTGTACATGTTCTCTTAACGTTATACAGCACTATACATGTTCTCTTAACGTTATACCTAAGAAATACACTTCGCTCTACCACCATGTATAGTGTAATAAAACACACTTTTGCCCTGAACTATTATAGTTAAAGCACGAGGACGCATGCGTCCGAGTGCTTTAACGTTATAATAGTTCAGGTTGAAAGTGTGTTTTATTACACTATACATGGTGGTAGGGCGAACTGTATTTCTTTTCTAAGATGCCAAATTTAATACTTTCTAAGGATAATTACGATTAATTTAAGACAGAAAACAAACGACGGTGTCTGTGACCTAAATTAAGAATCCTCGCACAGGGCTAACTGGCGCGCTGTTCTATTGATGTGTCTGCCCCCTACGTTAAGACGAACGTTACCAGAAAAAAACAAATGATAACAGTTTGATGACGGTTTACGTTCGGATTAAATATCTTCTCTGAATTATTTTAATTACATCTGTTATTAACATAAACCATACGGGGCAACATGAACGTTGCATTTCTACTACCAACGTAAGTTTAGATCAGTACATCCAGAGGAAGTTGAGTAGTCAAGCGACATTCCACGATTGCATTGTGGGAATGTAAACATTGCGAACGTTACCGTGTCGCTGAAAACTTGTGAGTCGAAATGACACATTTTAACCGTCGTAAAACATAAACGTAATGTTTCCACCAGTGATGTTAGCTGCGTGAAGCAACAGCAAACCAAGAAACTGGATGCAACGGTGTAGTTTACTGTAGGAGGCCGTACGAGGCGATGACAACTGACATGCATCGTGACGTCGCTTTCATTGTGACGTAATGTAAAATGGTTCGATTACGAGGGGGCACACTAGAATGGCGCAGTGACGGGATAACGTCATTCAATTGTTACGACATAAAAAAACTATACCTTTATTGTCTGATAATGTATTTATTTTTTCGATTGTTCTAACCGCTAGGCATCTTAGAAAGCACTATACATGTTCTCTTAGCGTTATACAGCACTGTACATGTTCTCTTAACGTTATACAGCACTATACATGTTCTCTTAACGTTATACAGCACTATACATGTTCTCTTAACGTTATACAGCACTATACATGTTCTCTTAACGTTATACAGCACTATACATGTTCTCTTAACGTTATACAGAACTGTACATGTTTTCTTAACGTTATACAGCACTATACATGTTCTCTTAACGTTATACAGCACTGTACGTGTACTCTTAACGTTATACAGCACTATACATGTTCTCTTAACGTTATACAACACTGTACATGTACTCTTAACGTTATACAGCACTATACATGTTCTCTTAACGTTATACAGCACTATACATGTTCTCTTAACGTTATACAGCACTATACATGTTCTCTTAACGTTATACAGCACTATACATGTTCTTCTAACGTTATACAGCACTATATATGTTCTCTTAACGTTATACAGCACTGTACATGTTCTCCTAACGTTATACAGCACCATACATGTTCTCTTAACGTTATACAGCACTGTACATGTTCCTCTTTAACGTTATACAGAACTATACATGTTCTCTTAACGTTATACAGCACTGTACGTGTACTCTTAACGTTATACAGCACTATACATGTTCTCTTAATGTTATACAGCACTATACATGTTCTCTTAACGTTATACAGCACTATAAATGTACTCTTAACGTTATACAGCACTATACATGTTCTCTTAACGTTATACAGCACTATACATGTTCTCTTAACGTTATACAGCACTATACATGTTCTCTTTACGTTATACAGCACTAGACATGTTCTCTTAACGTTATACAGCACTATACATGTTCTCTTAACGTTATACAGCACTATACATGTTCTCTTAACGTTATACAAGCACTATACATGTTCTCTTAACGTTATACAGCACTGTACATGTTCTCTTAACGTTATACAGCACTATACATGTTCTCTTAACGTTATACAGCACTATACATGTTCTCTTAACGTTATGCAGCACTATACATGTTCTCTTAACGTTATACAGCACTGTACATGTTCTCTTAACGTTATACAGCACTGTACATGTACTCTTAACGTTATACAGCACTATACATGTTCTCTTAACGTTATACAGCACTATACATGTTCTCTTAACGTTATACAGCACTATACATGTTCTCTTAACGTTATACAGCACTATACATGTTCTCTTAACGTTACACAGCACTAGACATGTTCTCTTAACGTTATGCAGCACTATACATGTTCTCTTAACGTTATACAGCACTGTACATGTACTCTTAACGTTATACAGCACTATACATGTTCTTTAACGTTATACAGCACTACATGTTCTCTTAACGTTATGCAGCACTATACATGTTCTCTTAACGTTATACAGCACTATACATGTTCTCTTAACGTTATACAGCACTAGACATGTTCTCTTAACGTTATACAGCACTATACATGTTCTCTTAACGTTATACAGCACTATACATGTTCTCTTAACGTTATACAGCACTATACATGTTCTCTTAACGTTATACAGCACTGTACATGTACTCTTGACGTTATACAGCACTATACATGTTCTCTTAACGTTATACAGCACTACACATGTTCTCTTAACGTTATGGAGCACTATACATGTTCTCTTAACGTTATACAGCACTGTACATGTTCTCTTAACGTTATACAGCACTGTACATGTTCTCTTAACGTTATACAGCACTGTACATGTTCTCTTAACGTTATACAGCACTGTACATGTTCTCTTAACGTTATACAGCACTGTACATGTTCTCTTAACGTTATACAGCACTGTACATGTTCTCTTAACGTTATACAGCATTATACATGTTCTCTTAACGTTATACAGAACTGTACATGTTTTCTTAACGTTATACAGCACTATACATGTTCTCTTAACGTTATACAGCACTGTACGTGTACTCTTAACGTTATACAGCACTATACATGTTCTCTTAACGTTATACAACACTGTACATGTACTCTTAACGTTATACAGCACTATACATGTTCTCTTAACGTTATACAGCACTATACATGTTCTCTTAACGTTATACAGCACTATACATGTTCTCTTAACGTTATACAGCACTATACATGTTCTCTTAACGTTATACAGCACTATATATGTTCTCTTAACGTTATACAGCACTGTACATGTTCTCCTAACGTTATACAGCACCATACATGTTCTCTTAACGTTATACAGCACTGTACATGTTCTCTTAACGTTATACAGCACTATACATGTTCTCTTAACGTTATACAGCACTGTACGTGTACTCTTAACGTTATACAGCACTATACATGTTCTCTTAATGTTATACAGCACTATACATGTTCTCTTAACGTTATACAGCACTATAAATGTACTCTTAACGTTATACAGCACTATACATGTTCTCTTAACGTTATACAGCACTATACATGTTCTCTTAACGTTATACAGCACTATACATGTTCTCTTAACGTTATACAGCACTAGACATGTTCTCTTAACGTTATACAGCACTATACATGTTCTCTTAACGTTATACAGCACTATACATGTTCTCTTAACGTTATACAGCACTATACATGTTCTCTTAACGTTATACAGCACTGTACATGTTCTCTTAACGTTATACAGCACTATACATGTTCTCTTAACGTTATACAGCACTATACATGTTCTCTTAACGTTATACAGCACTATACATGTTCTCTTAACGTTATACAGCACTGTACATGTTCTCTTAACGTTATACAGCACTGTACATGTACTCTTAACGTTATACAGCACTATACATGTTCTCTTAACGTTATACAGCACTATACATGTTCTCTTAACGTTATACAGCACTATACATGTTCTCTTAACGTTATACAGCACTATACATGTTCTCTTAACGTTACACAGCACTAGACATGTTCTCTTAACGTTATGCAGCACTATACATGTTCTCTTAACGTTATACAGCACTGTACATGTACTCTTAACGTTATACAGCACTATACATGTTCTCTTAACGTTATACAGCACTACACATGTTCTCTTAACGTTATGCAGCACTATACATGTTCTCTTAACGTTATACAGCACTATACATGTTCTCTTAACGTTATACAGCACTAGACATGTTCTCTTAACGTTATACAGCACTATACATGTTCTCTTAACGTTATACAGCACTATACATGTTCTCTTAACGTTATACAGCACTATACATGTTCTCTTAACGTTATACAGCACTGTACATGTACTCTTGACGTTATACAGCACTATACATGTTCTCTTAACGTTATACAGCACTACACATGTTCTCTTAACGTTATGGAGCACTATACATGTTCTCTTAACGTTATACAGCACTGTACATGTTCTCTTAACGTTATACAGCACTGTACATGTTCTCTTAACGTTATACAGCACTGTACATGTTCTCTTAACGTTATACAGCACTGTACATGTTCTCTTAACGTTATACAGCACTGTACATGTTCTCTTAACGTTATACAGCACTGTACATGTTCTCTTAACGTTATACAGCATTATACATGTTCTCTTAACGTTATACAGCACTATACATGTTCTCTTAACGTTATACAGCACTGTACATGTTCTCTTAACGTTATACAGCTCTGTACATGTTCTCTTAACGTTATACAGCACTGTACATGTTCTCTTAACGTTATACAACACTGAACATGTTCTCTTAACGTTATACAGCACTATACATGTTCTCTTAACGTTATACAGCACTATACATGTTCTCTTAACGTTATACAGCACTATACATGTTCTCTTAACGTTATACAGCACTGTACATGTTCTCTTAACGTTATACAGCACTGTACATGTTCTCTTAACGTTATACAGCACTATACATGTTCTCTTAACGTTATACAGAACTTTACATGTTCTCTTAACAATTCGGGGCGGTGGGGTAGCCTAGTGGTTAAAGCGTTGGCTCGTCACGTCGAAGACCCGGGTTCGATTCCCCACATGGCCGCAATGTGTGAAGCCCATTTCTGGTGTCCCCCGCCGTGATTTTGCTGGAATATTGCTAAAAGCGGTGTAAAACTAAACTCAGTCAGTCAGTCTTAACAATTCATCATTATACGTACTCTATGCATCACCTGTGTTTGAAAGCCAGTGTGAGGAGTACACAGTGTTAGGTCCTTACAGGGGTGTTTCGACTGGATCGAGAGTGTGGAGGTTCTATGTGTAACTATTCTCCTCATAACCATAGATAGAGCTGAGTATTTGGTTGTTAGTGGATGCATGAATGAAGAATATTGCTTTACGACGCATCAGCAGTTTTCCAGTTATTCCCGGCGCGAGATGTACATGTACTTTACAATATGTTAGACTATAAAAGTAATGAAAATCACTAAAATTTCAGTTAATATCACATTTAAGGGTCAAAACTGAGCCTTAAACATTTAGCGGTCTTAAATCAACGATAAAGGATCGCAAAATTGAAAACAGTGTAGCTTTATCTTCATTCTAGCACGACTGATAAGCGTTTTAAAAGACAAGGCGCGAAGGGGCCTTTTTCCTGGAAATCGCTTGGAATCGTACCGTTGAGGGAACCAGTATGCTTGTATTTGTAACAAGTAGCATACATAAATAAAACAAAATACAGTTTATACTGTGAGCAAGTACAATTATTTGATTTTTCTCAAGCGAATTATTGATCTCCCCTACTGTATGACAATCGACTCGTCCCAATTCAAGCCGTGAGGTCGCTAAGTTTAGTCGCCGCTAACTTCATTCACGGAAATGTTTAATAACTGTTGATAACCACCCTACTATTCCCAATTTGGAAAAGACCTGACATGCCACGTTTAATGTGGGATACACTGACAGTGGAAGTGGAAGGACTGGGCATTACGGCCGGGACGGAAGCGGTCAGGTTAGGACGTGTGGGCCGACGTGTGTTGTCGACGTCAACACACGTAGATCTGGACCCGGTTTGAATATAAACTGCAGCTTTTGCGCTGCTGACGGATATTCCAGCTTCGTAGTTTTTTCACTGGGGTTAGGTTCAAGAAATTCTTCTTCAAACCATTCGCTTTTTACTTAAAAAAAACCCCAAAGATGCTGCCGAGATAGAAATTGCCGATGTCCGACATGTTTGTTTACAAACAATAGTGTCAACGAGTTCGTTGTATTCATACGCGGTGAATCGGTGACTTTAATTAGCGGTCTTAAACTGCCATGTAAGTACGGTTTTGATGAGCTCTCAGCCAATCAGAATCGAGTATCACACAATGTCCTGCTAGAATCTTTGTTTGTGCCAGTGCTTTTTGTGTTACTGTCCATTCACATCCGACATATATGAGACCGTGTTTGCTGAGAAGAAATACACAAAAGTTCGATTCAATGTCTGTTTTGATGTTACTTCTATGATACAGTACAAAATGTTTGTAATGTTACAGACACAACGCCTTACCCAACCAGCACCTATTATTATCCGACCAGCAGCTATTACTATCCGACCAGCAGCTATTACTATCCGACCAGCAGCTATTACTATCCAACCAGCAGCTATTACTATCCGACCAGCAGCTATTACTATCCTTCCACTACTGCTAGCTACTATTTTCCATCAACAACTTACCCAGCAACCGGTGAGTAGAAGGGTTTCCTTCCACAGATACCTTCTACCCATATACACCCTACACCCAGAAATACACGCCACCCATATACACCCTACACCCATAAATACACGTCACCCATAAACACCCTACACCCAGAAATACACGCCACCCATATACACCCTACACCCAGAAATACACGCCACCCATATACACCCTACACCCATAAATACACATCACCCATATACACCCTACACCCACAAATACACGCCACCCATATACACCCTACACCCAGAAATACACGCCACCCATATACACCCTACACCCAGAAATACACGCCACCCATATACACCCTACACCCAGAAATACACGCCTCCCATATACACCCTACACCCAGAAATACACGCCACCCATATACACCCTACACCTATAAAGACACGCCACCCATATACACCCTACACCTATAAATACACGCCACCCATATACACCCTACACCCATAAATACACGCCACCCATATACACCCAACACCCATAAATACACGTCACCCATATACACCCAACACCCATAAATACACGTCACCCATATACACCCTACACCCATAAATACACGCCACCCATATACTCCCTACACCCATAAATACATGCCACCCGCAAATACATTCTCCCCATATACACCCTGTACCCACAAATAGACTCTACCCGCAAATACATTCTACGCATATACACCTTATACCCATAAATACACTCCACCCGCAAATACATTCTACCCATATGCATCCTACATATCCATTAATACTTATCTTGAATTTTTATTCAATGTCACTCTAGAAAATGGAACATTTCCAGAATCATGGTCAGTAGGAATAACCGTTCCAATACATAAACAAGGAAATCTAAATAACATACACAATTATCCTGCTTAGTATATGGCAAAAATGTTTACCTACATAATTAACAAAAGCTTAGTTTGGGGGCAAATACTGTCAACGAAATAATGAAGAATAAGCAGGTTATAGAGGGGGTTATTCAACAATTGAAAATATGTTTATCCTGAAAGCTATAGTCAAAGCTATACTTGAGTATCAAAGTAGGAAAAGTTTACGTACGCTTCGTTGACTTTGCCATTTGACTCGGTGCAGAGGCATAAGCTGTGGAATCCTTTAAAAACTTTTATGTAGTATTTATGAGAATGTAAAGGCGTGTGTACGTGACAAAAATTGAGATTCCTAAACCTCAGCCAGTTAGGAGTGAGACAAGGGTGCATTTTAAGTCCGTTTCTATTTACCTTTCATAAATGAATTAGCTATTCACATTATCGAGAACTGCAGTCATGGCATCGAGCCTCAGCCCGATATAACCCAGCTCTTCTTACTGTTGTTTGAAGATGATATTATTCTGTTTTCATCCAGGGTCAAAGGTTAACAGAGACAAATCGATGACCTTGAAACTTACTGTGATGAATAGAAATTAACAGTCAACAGAAACAAAACAAAAGTTCCTGTATTTAAGAATGGAGGGCAGCTGTCACTAAATGAGTACTGGTCCTTTAAAGGAGAAATGTTAGAAACTACAGGATTTTATAAATATCTAAGTGTTTACTTCAGTAGGAATTTGTTATGGAAGAAACATTCAAATCAGTCACCAATACAAGCAAAAAAGGCTTTTGTAAGTATTTTCAAACAATCATTTTCAAAATATTTGATGATAAAATACTCCTAATTTTATTATATGGGTCAGATCCCGAAGTGTGGGGTTTACAACAGTTGATGTGATAGAGAAAATTCATTTACACGCTTGTAAAAAGTTCTTATGTGTGAAAGTAGGTACATCTGACCTGGTGGTATATAGTGTTTCCACTTTATTTACACTCGAATATTACGGTCATCAAATACTGGTTAGGATATGCCTTCATACAGACTCCCCAAACATGTTACAATAAGATTTTACTTGAAGACAACAATGGAAAGATAGACTGGGTTACTGGACTGAGAGTTACCTGTTTCTTGATATGCCTTTTAACTGTCTACATCACAAATAATTCAGGATGGTTACCTTTATAAGATTATTGTTCTGTTAAAAAGTTCCGAACAGCTCTTTCACCTTTTAGTTGTTCCTCTCGTGGTCTTTATATTGAAAAGAGACGTTATATAGACACTAGTCGGGACCAAAGAATTTGCAATGTTTGTAACTTAAATTTATTTGAAGATGAGTATCATTTTCTACTTTTATGTTTACTCACAACTTAGAGAAAGATATCTGCAATCCTATTACCTTACACACCCAAATTTCACTAAATTTGATTTACTGTTCTGCAAGGTTTATCTATGTTCATTAATCATGTTCAGAAATAAAATAAATACAAAATGAGAGTCTGCAGATCAGCTGTGTGACCTTTTCCAATATAATTTATATTTTCATATTATGTTTGATTGTATATTGTGTATTGTATTGTACTATAGGCCTGTGTTTTTATTAAGTAGTGAAATAAACGTTATACCCATATACACCCTATACCCGCAAATGCATTCTACCCATAAGGGGTGGAGTATCCAAATGGTTAAAGCGTCCGCTCGTCATACTGTTGCTAAAAGCGGCGTAAAAGCATACTCACTAACTAACCAACGCTACCCATAAATACTCTCTACCTGCAAATGCGTTCCACCCATACACACCCTACCCCCACAAATACATTCTACCCATACACACCCTACCCCCACAAATACATTCTACCCATACACACCCTACCCCCACAAATACATTCTACCCATACACACCCTACCCCCACAAATACATTCTACCCATACACACCCTACCCCTACAAATGCATTCTACCCATACACACCCTACCCCCACAAATACATTCTACCCACACAGACCCTACCCGCACAAATACTTTCTACCCCTCATAAACTCACCACCCACACAAACTCTCCACCCAAAGGAAACCTTCCACCCACAGGAAACCCCCCACCCCACACATTCCCTTTTCCCACATACAGACTCGTTTGATCGGAACACAGGAAACACAAGAGAAGTGACGATGTCCAGTTCGCGACAAATGCTGAATGTGTACGTGATGTACAAAGTGTCTCCTCGTTTCTGTCAGGTCATAGTTCCGGTCAGGTTGACGCTACCCTCCTGTCGACGTACATCCTGGCGGCCAAGATGGAGGCTGAGGAGACGTTGCATGCCGCCCAGGAGACCGTGGACGCCATTGTCGCCGCCCAGCAACTTGTCCAGTAAGACAGGTCCTAGTCACACTGTAACTGTAACATGGGCTGAATAAACTCAGACTGGTTTCCCTTCGTGTTATTTCACATAGAGGTGCGGGCCGCGTGATGCACGACCACCAGGCCACCATCTGCATGACGACAGTGGGACCGTGGTAGATGTCGTTCACCAAGCAGTCGAATCAGGTCGATTCTTCCTGTCAGTCAATAGGCGTTCTTAAATAATGCAGAAGTGAGATTTCACACTCGTGCTAATTGTTTGAGGGTCTTGTAGCTGCTACTTGTTGGCAATAGCGACATAGCAGCTATATAGTGGAGAAATCAGCTATATTGCAGCGAAATAGTGGAGAGGTCAGCTATATCGTGGAGAAGACAGCTATATAGCAGCTATATAATGGAGCAGTAAACTGTATAGCAGCTACATTGTAAAGAGGTCAGCTACATAGTGAAGAGACCCGTGAAGGTCCAGGTTAGAATGAACCTTCAGTAATCCATGCTTACCGTAAGAGGCGACAAACGGGATCGGGTGGTCAGGCTCGCTGACTTGGTTGACACATGTCATCGGTTCCCTGTTGCGCAGATCGATGCTCATGCTGTTGATCACTGGATTGTCTGGTCCATACTCAATTATTTACAGACCGCCGCCATATAGCTCGAATATTGCTGAGTGCGGCGTAAAACTAAACTCACTCACATAGTGAAGACGTCAGCTATATAGTGGAGAAGTCAGCTATATAGCAGCTACATATATAATGGAGACGTCAGCTATATAGCAGCTACATATATAATGGAGACGTCAGCTATATAGCAGCTACATATATAATGGAGACGTCAGCTATATAGCAGCTACATATATAATGGAGACGTCAGCTATATAGCAGCTACATATATAATGGAGACGTCAGCTATATAGCAGCTACATATATAATGGAGACGTCAGCTATATAGCAGCTATATATAGTGGAAAAATGAGCTATACTGTGGCTATATCGTGGTGAAGTCAGCAATGTTATGGCTATGTCACGGAGACGTCATTACATAAAACACAAACACTTCGACCACATGCAGTTATTGATAAATTACTAGACAATGTGATCATATGGGAGATGGGGTGTAAAGATTCAGCCAGCAGAGGACCAGACGAGGTTGATGTAGGTGACCCAGGAATCGTCACATCCTCTGGGGAGGGAAGATAAATAGTATTTTCATCACAAGAAAACACAAACTTCCATTCATTTCTTTCCCTAAGATATTTATAATGGTTCGCGGCGGTTAGTTTAGACCAATTAACAAAATCACGCTCATACCAACAACGATGAAAGGCGGTTATTTGAACCTAAACCATCCTCGACAATCAAGGGCATTATATCTACACATCATAACTGATATCTTGGACTCATGTGACGTCACCACATCTTCTGTCTCTGACTTTAGTATTTCTCTCGTTCATGAGATAACTTTGAATCACAAGTATTTATTAACATACGGGATGTGGGGTAGCCTAGTGGTTAAAGCCTTCGCTCGTCACACCGAATACCCGGGTTCGATTCCCCACATGGGTACAATGTGTGTAACCCATTTCTGGTGTTCCACGCAGTGATATTACTGGAATATTGCTAAAAGCGGCATAACACTAAACTCACTCACCCATCGCCAGTAACACGCCAGTATTTCATAACTGCGAGAGCGAATGGGTGCATGATATCTGTCATAATAAAATGGATATAAGATAACTCGGATATTTGAACATGGGCATAAACCTCGATGTGGACAAAAGTTAAAACTAGCTTCTGAAACAAGGGTGTGGGGTGTGGGGTGTGTAAAATGGCCTCGTTTTAGCGTTTGAGCTGTTTACAGTCACAAAGCGATGACGTACATTTGTATAATTGTTTTTGTCGCAGGTACATGAGTCCAATATTTGTTTTTTTGAAGAGTGTATTACTGCTCCTTGTGTCATTATTGTCTAAACAATACAAGATGGTAATAAACAGATAACTGACATTCACTGAATGTTATAAAACGAAGTAGGTATGACCTATTGTCTTCAATGAAGTTTGGACTTTTAAGCTGCTCCATTGAGGTGTCCAAGCAAAGGTTATCCCGGCTCGGTTGTCGCACACTATCGACGTCGGGGTCTCGCCCCCAGGTGACTGTGTATGTCAAGTATTGTGTATAACGTTCAAATTGGTTGTCGACAGACTCAAGCCTCTCTTTGCATCTTCTGGGTTAAGTATTCATCTTCATAAACTTTGGTTTCTAAAATGCAAATATCTATTTCAAAAAGAATATTCCTTATCGGCGTCTCTTAGTTGTGCCAACATTCAATGCATCCACAACATTGCTCGCATTATGACCTAGGGGAGGGTGGGGGATTGGAGGTGGAGGGTGTGTGTGTGTGTTTAGCCTGGTCGATCAAGCGTTCGCTCGTCACAAAGACCCGTGTTCGATTCCCCACATGGATACAATGTGTAAAGCCCATTTTCTCACGATATTGCTAAAAGCGGCATAAAACCCAACTCACTCATTACGAACCAGCAACGTCTCAGACCTACTTTGTTCAAAGCGGCATTAAACTGAACTCACTCACTCACTTTAGATAACCTACCTCCACCGTAACACTTGCACATGTCATTGTGGGTCAAACATGTCGGTTGAAAAGAGAAGATGCCGTTATATCATCCCGTACACCGGACACTCGTTAATGAGGAATCTCTACTGAGAACATGTAAACTGAGTGAGTGAGAATGGTTTTACGCCGCTTTTAGCAATATTCCAGCAATGTCACTTACTCTAAGAGACTCGGAGAGAGTACCCTGTGTAAAGTATGAAACGAACCAACACAATACTGTTAAACCTCCCTAATCCATACTGGTGTGACAGTTTAGTCCAGTTTAGAAAAGTCTGGATTCGTGATGCTACAGTTTTTATATGACAAGTACAATTTTCACACTATGATAAATAGTGAGTGAGTATGGTTTTACGCCGCTTTTTAGCAATGTCACGACAGGGGACACCAGAAGTGGGCCTCAAACAATGTACCTATGTGAGGAATCGAACCCGGGTCTTCTGCGTGACGAGCGGACGCTTTAACCACTAGGTCACCCCACCGCCCCTGATGATAATTGTATACATTGTGACTATACATCAGTCCACAAGGGAGAGTAAAACAGCTAAATATCCCATATTTATATGTATATAATTAACAACTTATCACACTATACAGAACATCACAAAATACGCTAAGGTTCCAGATCGGCAGCAGCAGAAGCTATTTCACCATTCCAAGGACCATGGGGACCTACAGTACCTGCATGGACCCCAGGCAGATTTATATACTCCTTCAGCTGATAGCGAATGAAGACAAAGTTATACAAACCATAAATGAACACACATTCTACGATTAAAAACACTGGTAGATATAAAAAACACTTTCAATGGCATACCCTCTCAGGTAAACAATACTTTTACGACACTTCAACCCTAGCCAAAGGGGGTAGGGGTGGGGGTGGGGGGAGCCGCACTAATAACGAGCAATGAACAAGATAAATAAATGTTCGAGACAGAAAGGTAAGTTGTTTGGTTTTAAAACAGAATCATTCAGTTAATTAAGTTCCATTTGAAACTTGGAAAAGTACTGAAATGAAATCTCAAATTCACTGTTCATAGTACATCATTATCGTCAGAATAAAACCTATGATCATCACCAGCCACCCTCTCGATAACACGTTATCTAGCTGCCGCACCTGGTTACTGATGACAACACGTCATCTAGCTGCCGCACCTGGTTACTGATGACAACACGTCATCTAGCTGCCGCACCTGGTTACTGGTGATAACACGTTATCTAGCTGCCGCACCTGGTTACTGGTGACAACACGTTATCTAGCTGCCGCACCTGGTTACTGATGACAACACGTTATCTAGCTGCAGTACCTGGTTACTGGTGACAACACGTTATCTAGCTACCGCACCTGGTTACTGGTGACAACACGTTATCTAGCTGCCGCACCTGGTTACTGGTGATAACACGTTATCTAGCTGCCGCACCTGGTTACTGGTGATAACACGTTATCTAGCTACCGCACCTGGTTACTGATGACAACACGTTATCTAGCTGCAGTACCTGGTTACTGATGACAACACGTCATCTAGCTGCCGCACCTGGTTACTGATGACAACACGTCATCTAGCTGCCGCACCTGGTTACTGATGACAACACGTCATCTAGCTGCCGCACCTGGTTACTGGTGACAACACGTTATCTAGCTGCCGCACCTGGTTACTGATGACAACACGTTATCTAGCTGCAGTACCTGGTTACTGGTGATAACACGTTATCTAGCTACCGCACCTGGTTACTGGTGACAACACGTTATCTAGCTGCCGCACCTGGTTACTGATGACAACACGTTATCTAGCTGCAGTACCTGGTTACTGGTGACAACACGTTATCTAGCTACCGCACCTGGTTACTGGTGACAACACGTTATCTAGCTGCCGCACCTGGTTACTGGTGATAACACGTTATCTAGCTGCCGCACCTGGTTACTGGTGATAACACGTTATCTAGCTACCGCACCTGGTTACTGATGACAACACGTTATCTAGCTGCAGTACCTGGTTACTGATGACAACACGTCATCTAGCTGCCGCACCTGGTTACTGATGACAACACGTCATCTAGCTGCCGCACCTGGTTACTGATGACAACACGTCATCTAGCTGCCGCACCTGGTTACTGGTGACAACACGTTATCTAGCTGCCGCACCTGGTTACTGATGACAACACGTTATCTAGCTGCAGTACCTGGTTACTGGTGATAACACGTTATCTAGCTACCGCACCTGGTTACTGGTGACAACACGTTATCTAGCTACCGCACCTGGTTACTGGTGACAACACGTTATCTAGCTGCCGCACCTGGTTACTGATGATAACACGTTATCTAGCTGCCGCACCTGGTTACTGGTGACAACACGTTATCTAGCTACCGCACCTGGTTACTGGTGACAACACGTTATCTAGCTGCAGTACCTGGTTACTGGTGATAACACGTTATCTAGCTGCCGCACCTGGTTACTGATGATAACACGTTATCTAGCTGCCGCACCTGGTTACTGGTGACAACACGTTATCTAGCTGCAGTACCTGGTTATTGGTGACAACACGTTATCTAGCTGCCGCACCTGGTTACTGGTGACAACACGTTATCTAGCTGCCGCACCTGGTTACTGATGACAACACGTTATCTAGCTGCAGTACCTGGTTACTGGTGACAACACGTTATCTAGCTGCCGCACCTGGTTACTGATGACAACACGTTATCTAGCTACCGCACCTGGTTACTGATGACAACACGTTATCTAGCTGCCGCACCTGGTTACTGATGATAACACGTTATCTAGCTGCCGCACCTGGTTACTGATGACAACACGTCATCTAGCTGCCGCACCTGGTTACTGATGACAACACGTCATCTAGCTGCCGCACCTGGTTACTGGTGACAACACGTTATCTAGCTGCAGTACCTGGTTACTGGTGACAACACGTTATCTAGCTGCCGCACCTGGTTACTGATGACAACACGTTATCTAGCTGCCGCACCTGGTTACTGGTGACAACACGTTATCTAGCTGCAGTACCTGGTTACTGGTGACAACACGTTATCTAGCTGCAGTACCTGGTTACTGATGACAACACGTCATCTAGCTGCCGCACCTGGTGACTGGTGATAACACGTTATCTAGCTGTAGTACCTGGTTACTGATGACAACACGTTATCTAGCTACCGCACCTGGTTACTGATGACAACACGTTATCTAGCTGCCGCACCTGGGTACTGATGACCACAAACACACAAACCCTAGCACACATTGTGGACTTGAAAGTAGCTTTAACAATTTTAATTTTGTGATTTCATTTGTTGGAAAATTCATGTCATATATATATAGTAATAAAAACATTTTGTTTGCTTTCTGCACCACAACAAGCAGGTGACCAGTATAATATAAAATATCTATAATAATATAGAAGACACAATACATTGACGTAAATTATTAAGATTCTGGTCATCTGATTGATGTCAATTGTCTTTGCTCGGAAACATACTCGTCAGAGACGAGGCGTACAAGTTTGTAAGTGTAGAGTATAAGTTGATTTGTCGTGGTTTATGCAGCAGTTTGTTTACACAGGGTCTAGGTTTACAGAAGTTACACTTAGTTGTATCATAAATCACTGCGTTATCATCATGCTATTGTGGTGATACTTAAATACTTTTCCAAATGTATTTTTAGTTGGTTACTTTTAAGTTCTAGATCGATGAGCCCAGTAAGTTAATGTTACATAACAGGCCTATATATTATATAAACTGTGACTGCCCTCGTGAGGGAGTTTTTATCTGGGGTACCCACAACCGGTTCGATGTTTCCACGTCACGCATCAATACACTGTCACGAGACTTTGATCATGTGATCACTTACATAAAGTAGAAATGCTATAAATAGCCTCACCGTCTTCACATGTTCTCAGCGAGGTAGCAAGCGCGCGACTCGAGACTCCAAGGATGAATTCTGTAATCTGTGTTCTAGCTGCACTTGCATGCACATGCACGGCACTCACCCGTGAAGGCATCTGGCTGCAGATGCACTTCGGTGGTGGAGTTAAAGATGGTGAAAATATTCCTCAGCTAGCTACGACCTTAGGGGAGAAGACGCTGGTGGAGCTCGTCACCAAGGCCGGTCTCGCGGACACGTTGTCCAGCACAGGTGAGTCAACGACCTCACGGGGCACCTGTACCCGGAGACCCGGGGGAAACCATAGTAGTGTTCTGTAAATGGTCCTCGAATGTACACCGCGAATATATAACATGATCCAAAATTTATTTTCAAAAAGTTTATCTTTAAAACGTGTCGCTTTGTAAGTTCAAAGCGGAGAATGGTTCACATCGAATAACGTCAAGTTAAATGAAAATATGTATGATATTTATTTTGTTAAATTGACTTTAGAAATGATTGAAATAAGCAGGAGAGGACCTATTGATATTGAGAAACTACTGGTATCTTGATTGTATGTATTTTGGATTTTTCGTATAATTTATTACAACGACCTGCATTAGAGAGCGTGTTTGTAAACGAACGCACCCTGTTTACGACATGGTTGTTAGTTGGGCAAAACATGCGCAAGTTTGTAACACAAATACCCGTAATACCAACTGCCCGTTGTGACTGTTTACAAACAACACGGACCAGTTTCACCTCACCTGGCACATGTACCATCACGTTTGTTGTGGACGGACTAATGTTCTTTATACAAGTAGAGCGTGGTGTCGCCATTGTTTCCGTAGGGCGGTTTTCTTCTAACATCCAAAGCACGGGCAAAGCACGATTCTGTTTTGACTTGAGGAGATCGGATTTCATGAACCTATGCCGCATCCTCCCATGTGTTATATAATCAAAATATTTCATTGTGACACAACTAACCCGATTCGTATAAAGTTATACCTGGTAGATGTACACTATCAGGTTGAAGTTTATGTTCGGGATAAGATAACACTGAGAACGTATTAAAATTCCTCGAAGTGTTATAGATTTCCTTGTGTAATGATTTTCTTTAACCATGGTGTACCGGTTGCCCCAAATGACACACAGCACATGTTCGTATGCCTTGTATAACATTTTATACAACACCTCGTATAGCGGTCACGTGTAGTAGTCACGTGATGTGTTTTGCACACTCAGCTGACTCGGCAGAAACAGCGGTTGTCAGTTTACTTATGTCCGTCCGGTAAAGGCTTATCTTGTTCAAAAAAGATTTGATATCTTCGATACAATGAACATAATATGCATATAGAGATTCTAATGTGTAGATATCTCTGTATGATGTATGTTTCCCAGACTAATCAGTTCAGCCAGGGTGTGACAGAAGATTGTGACAACCCTTCGCCGGTTCAAGTAATTGGTCGACCTTGACCCGTAACTGACACTGGTTTACGCTTCACTGATAACTTGTGAGACACGCTGTATGTGGGTTTTGTTGCGAGTATGAGAGGTTGGCGCCGTGATGTAGAAGGTCTTGACAGACAGTGTTAATCTACATCGTTACGACCACAAGCATCCCTAAGCATCCATTGTACTAGATCGTCTGAACAGATTGTACTACATTTGTTGTACTACATCATCCGTTGTACTAGATCATCCGTTGTACATCATCTGTTGTACTACATCATCTGTTGTACTACATCATCTGTTGTACTATATCATCTGTTGTACTATATCATCTGTTGTACTACATCATCTGTTGTACTACATCATCTGTTGTACTACATCATCCGTTGTACTACATCATCCGTTGTACTACATCATCCGTTGTACTACATCTGTTGTACTACATCATCCGTTGTACTACATCAGCCGTTGTACTACATCAGCCGTTGTACTATATCATCTGTTGTACTATATCATCTGTTGTACTATATCATCTGTTGTACTACATCATCCGTTGTACTACATCTCTTGTACTACATCATCCGTTGTACTACATCATCCGTTGTACTACATCATCTGTTGTACTACATCATCTGTTGTACTGCATCTGCTGTACTACATCATCTGTTGTACATCATCCGTTGTACTACATCATCCGTTGTACTATATCATCGGTTGTACTACATCATCTGTTGTACTATATCATCTGTTGTACTACATCATCTGTTGTAATGCATCTGCTGTACTACATCTGTTGTACATCATCCGTTGTACTACATCATCCGTTGTACTATATCATCTGTTGTACTATATCATCTGTTGTACTATATCATCTGTTGTACTACATCATCCGTTGTACTACATCATCCATTGTACTACATCATCCGTTGTACTACATCATCCGTTGTACTACATCATCCGTTGTACTACATCATCTGTTGTACTACATCATCTGTTGTACTACATCATCTGTTGTACTACATCATCCGTTGTACTACATCATCTGTTGTACTACATCATCTGTTGTACATCATCCGTTGTACTACATCATCCGTTCTACTACATCATCTGTTCTACTACATCATCTGTTGTACTACATCATCTGTTGTACATCATCCGTTGTACTACATCATCTGTTCTACTACATCGTCTGTTGTACTACATCATCCTGTGTACTACATCATCCGTTCTCCTACATCATCAGTTGTACTACATAATCTGTTGTACGACATCTGTTGTACTACATCTGTTGTACTACATCATCTGTTGTACTACATCTACCGTTGTACTACATCATCTGTTGTACTACATCTGTTGTACTACATCATCTGTTGTACTACATCTGTTGTACTACATCATCCGTTGTACTACATCATCCGTTGTACTACATCGTCCGTTGTACTACATCATCCGTTGTACCACATCATCCGTTGTACTACATGATCCGTTGTACTACATCATCCGTTGTACTACATCATCCGTTGTACTACATCATCCGTTGTACTACATCATCCGTTGTACTACATCTGTTGTACTACATGATCTCTTGTACTACATGATCTGTTGTACTACATGATCCGTTGTACTACATCATCCGTTGTACTACATCATATGTTGTACTATATCTGTTGTACTATATCTGTTGTACTACATCTGTTGTACTACATCTTCCGTTGTACTACATCATCTGTTCTACTACATCTTCCGTTGTACTACATCATCTGTTCTACTACATCTGTTGTAGTACATCCGTTGAACGACATCATCCGTTGTACTACATCATATGTTGTACTACATCATCTGTTGTACTATATCTGTTGTATTATATCTGTTGTACTACATCTGTTGTACTACATTTTCCGTTGTACTACATCATCTGTTGTACTACATCTGTTGTAGTACATCCGTTGAACGACATCATCCGTTGTACGACATCATCCGTTGTACTACATCATCCGTTGTACTACATCATCTGTTGTACTAAATCATCTGTTGTACTAAATCATCCGTTGTACTAAATCATCCGTTGTACTACATCATCCGTTGTACTACATCGTCCTACTACATCATCCGTTGTACTACATCATCTGTTGTACTACATCATCCGTTGTACTACATCATCCGTTGTACTACATCATCTGTTGTACTACATCATCCGTTGTACTACATCATCTGTTGTACTACATCATCCGTTGTACTACATCATCTGTTGTACTACATCATCTGTTGTACTGCATCTGCTGTACTACATCATCTGTTGTACATCATCCGTTGTACTACATCATCTGTTCTACTACATCATCTGTTCTACTACATCATCTGTTGTACTACATCGTCTGTTGTACTACATCATCCGTTGTACTACATCATCCGTTGTCCTACATCATCAGTTGTACTACATAATCTGTTGTACTACATCTGTTGTACTACATCTTCCGTTTTACTACATCATCAGTTGTACTACATCTGTTGTACTACATCATCCGTTGTACTACATATGTTGTACTACATCATATGTTGTACTAAATCTGTTGTACTACATCATCCGTTGTGCTACATTTGTTGTACTACATCATCTGTTGTACTACATCATCCGTTGTACTACATCTGTTGTACAACATCATCCGTTGTACTAAATATGTTGTACTACATCATCTGTTGTAGTACATCATCCGTTCTACTACATCATGTTGTACTACATCTGTTGTACTACATCATCTGTTGTACTACATCATCTGTTGTACTACATCATCCGTTGTACTACATCATCCGTTGTACTACATCATCCGTTGTCCTACATCATCTGTTGTACTACATCATCCGTTGTACTCAATCTGTTTTACTACATCATCTGTTGTACTACATCATCTGTTGTACTACATCATCTGTTGTACTACATCATCTGTTGTACTACATCATCTGTTGTACTACATCATCCGTTGTACTACATCATCCGTTGTTCTACATCAGCCGTTGTACTACATCAGCCGTTGTACTACATCAGCCGTTGTACTACATCTGTTGTACTACATGATCTGTTGTACTACATGATCTGTTGTACTACATGATCTGTTGTACTACATGATCTGTTGTACTACATCATCCGTTGTACTACATCATCTGTTGTACTACATCATATGTTGTACTAAATCTGTTGTACTACATCATCCGTTGTGCTACATTTGTTGTACTACATCAGCCGTTGTACTACATCAACCGTTGTTCTACATCAGCCGTTGTACTACATCAGCCGTTGTACTACATCAGCCGTTGTACTACATCAGCCGTTGTACTACATGAGCCGTTGTACTAAATCATCTGTTGTACTACATCTGTTGTACTACATCTGTTGTACTACATGATCTGTTGTACTACATCATCCGTTGTACTACATCATCTGTTGTACTACATCATATGTTGTACTACATCATCCGTTGTGCTACATTTGTTGTACTACATCATCTGTTGTACAACATCATCCGTTGTACTACATCTGTTGTACTACATGATCTGTTGTACTACATCATCCGTTGTACTCAATCTGTTTTACTACATCATCTGTTGTACTACATCATCCGTTGTACTACATCATCTGTTGTACTACATCATCCGTTGTTCTACATCATCCGTTGTACTACATCATCCGTTGTACTACATCATCTGTTGTACTAAATCTGTTGTACTACATCATCCGTTGTACTCAATCTGTTTTACTACATCATCTGTTGTACTACATCATCTGTTGTACTACATCATCTGTTGTACTACATCATCTGTTCCTGGGGACATTGTTGTGTGCTCAGGTGTTGGACAATATGATAAATAATGTGCATTGTACTAGCTGAGTTTTGTTAAAATTTTCCTTTTAAAATCCCTTGAACGAGTATGGTCCCTTTAGTAAATGCACTGTACGTATTGAAATATTTTCTTGGACATACACGTCTCAAGCTGAAACAAAATGTCATATTGCAGCAATTCTATGATATAAACTCCTGGAAACGAATAAGGAAACACATGAAAGTACAAGTGTTCCTTTATATACTTCCAGAATGTCACCCACAGTGAAGAAACCTGGACGGAACACTTGTACTTTCATGCGCTCCCTTATTCGTTTCCAGGAGTATAATTTGGATCGAGCAACTGAAGAAAATATCCATTTTCCTGTCATTATATCTTGAGTTTCTGTGTTGCTTCATCACGAGATACAAACTCTAAAGAACAAGTACTGTCCAATTGTGAACATTTCAGTGGACAAACATTCAGGCACCATTTACCCAGTGGAGTCTGGGATCCCCCATAAACTTTGTCTCACCCAGAAATTTATCAAAGAGGTAATGAGACAAATAACTTTGTCGTTGTCATGACGACCTCACGACCTTTCCCAGACGAGGCAGTACGGTTATAAGAGTTGGTCGGTACCATTATTGACATCTTCTTAATGTTTCAAAAGTTATCTGTACCTCAGGATAGGTATACTGTTCGATTCTGTCGTCTCGAACAGTATGTCGAGGTAACGGAGTTCAGGTTAACAGGGTTTCACCTTTATTCCACGGGCACTATATTTTCTCTATGTATCTTCATGGATGGAGAGTGAATTGTCTTTCACCCTTCCAGGTGGGTAGCAATGAACAATATGTAGGTTCGGATAATGACTGAATTCCTATTTCTTCCAGCTCCCCCTGCCCCCTTCACCGTATTCGGGCCGACGGATGCCGCCTTCGACGCTCTGCCTCAACCAATCAAAGACCTGCTGAACAACGTGACCATTCTCAAGGACGTTCTGCTTTACCACGTGCTGTCGGGGGAGGTCTACTCCACACAGCTGACCAATGAGCTTGTCGCCAAGTCCCTCTCCAACGGACTCCCCATCAGGATCAACATTTACCAGGACGGGAAGGTAAGCGTCGTCCACGTCAAGGTACACGTCAACGCAGAAAACACCGAGAATCCCATCTTCTGTTAACAGTAGACCCGTGAACATCCGGGTTAGAATTGATCTTCAGCATCCAATGCTTGTCATACGAGGCGACTAACGGGATCGGGGGTTCAGTCTCGCTGACTTGGTTGACATATGTCATCGTATCCCAATTATGTAGATCGATGCTCATGCTGTTGATCTTGGGTTGTCTGGTCCAGACTCGATTATTGACAGACCGCCGCCATATAGCTGGAATATTGCTGAGTGCGGTGTAAACCTAAACTCAGTCACTCTGTTAACAGTAATTCATGTCAGACTGGACCAGGGTCAAGCTCGCTGACCTGGATGATCCAAGTCGTCGTGTCCCAATTACTCAGATCACAACAGAAGGCCGCCATGTGGCTGGAATATGGCTAAGTGCGAAGTTTAAACTACAACGAAAACTAGATGTACTAAGCCGTCCTGACTAACGATGTTCCATATGACCAATGTGACGTCACTACTGATTGTTTCCCCAGGTAGTGACAGCGCAGGGCTCCCCAATCGTCCTCGTCAATCAGAACGCTACCAACGGCGTCATCCACGGCCTGAGTCGCGTCATGCTGCCCCCAGCGGGAACCGTCGTAGATGTGGTCTCTAGCGTCCCTGGCTTCAACGATCTGAAAACCGCCGTCATTGCTGCTAAGCTGCTCAATGTGTTGGCTGGTAGGTGGTAGTTACTGCTCAGTTTTGAATGCTACACTCGGTTTAGAAATCAGAAATGTATACTGGTGAAACGTGCCATTGGTAACGATTAATATACTCTGACTCTGACATATTGCCTGGCTCGCTACTTGTGAATCGTTGTGGAAGTTGCTGCAGAGTCCTAACACCTCCTTGACATGTTGTAGGTGATGGCCCCTTCACCGTGTTCGCCCCGACTGACGCGGCCTTCGCTAAACTCCCGCCAGGAACCTTGGACAACCTCCTGAAGAACATCACCCAACTCACCAGTAAGTCACACCCTCTTTTTGTACTCAGTGGCCTAGACGCCTTTAAACACCACTGTGTCGTAAGGTTGCCGATAATCTGGGTCGAATCCCCATTTTGGTGCAGTCTGCTTGCTTTGCCCTGTCGTTATATTGTTGAATAAGTTCAGGGCTTCAAGTGTATACCAAGTATTTAATGGGTGTTACTATTAATTTGTTTTTATCGGGGTGTGTAGGGTGGATCTATTTAATTCCCCCTGCTTATTTGTTTCATGGCCCCTATGTGCTGTGCTTGGATTCAGCAGAATCCGTGTTTATTGTCTTGAAAACACGCACATGGAGATGACTTTATTTATGAATCAACACTTTGTAATTTCCAGGTGTGCTTGAATACCACGTCGTGAGCGGCACCTTCTACAGCGCCGGACTGACCAACAACATGAAGGTGACGACCCTCAACAAACAGGACTTCACCGTCATGGTGTCCAGTGGTGAGTGGTGACCACGATGTTATCAGTGTAATACTTGTCTCCCTGTGGGGATTCCACGGCAAGATGGGTCTAAGGTACCCCATTCTTGTCTCGGGTAACCCATGCTGTCTCAGGTACCCCATGCTTGTCTCAGGTAAAAAAAAAACATGCTTGTCTCCCTGTTGGGCTTTAAGAGTAAGATGCATGGGTCTCAGGTACCCCCATTCCTGGGGTTTCCAAGGCTGGATAGGTCTCAACTGTACCCAGCAAAGTGTTGGGAAGTCGTACTGGGTTACTTTGCAGATGGTGTTGTCATGTCCTGCCATGGATAGTGAACGTGGGGTTTTGGAGCTTTGAACAATATTCCAAGAATATCACTGCGTGGGGACACTAGAAATGGGCTTCGCACATTGTACCCTTGTTGGGAATTGAACACGCACCTTCTGCGTGACAAGCGAATGCTTTGACCACAAGGCTACCCCCGTCCCTCCCATCATGATGTGTAGTGTTTGTTTACACCTATTCATATTTCACATGCTTTACGCGTAGTAATAATCACCACGTTTTACTTGACAGGCGGTGTTAGCATCAACACCGGCTCTGGCACAGCTAACGTCATCGCTGCCGATATCAGCATTACCAACGGTGTCATCCACGTCATCGACAGTGTACTCATTCCACCAACGATGCTTTACCATTTGCAAAAATAGACAACGTATAAAATTGGATTAGCACCCACCCTGACCATAGTGTGAATGCTTCCTTCCGTACTGAGACTATTGGCTGGATGACTGTGCTCCAGTGTAAACCATGTCGCCATCGTCCCACGCTCCCACACTCCGGATAACCATTGTCGTCAGTATTCCATACTTGTGGTCGGTATTTCATTGTTGTTCCAAGAGTTGTGAATGTGTCAGCTAGTATTGTTCCAACTGTTTTCACCTTTATATCGCTGTTGTATTTACAATAAATCATATATAAACCAACACGTGTTTCTGTTAAACATCCTTCATTTTGGCTGAAATGTCGAAATATTGATGACTGTTTCTGATTTCACCCAGATGCCAGGAACTGATAGAAACCATGACTCTTTCCTTATCCTGACTCATGCTAATTATGCTTGTCTCCTTCCTCATGTGAATGATAGTGGAACACTTGAAATCCCTTGAAGTTCCCTTTTGAAAAAAGCGGACGTAAAATCACTCACCCAAGAGTAGCGTCCCTTTCCTCCCTTTGGCGCCCAAATGGTCACATGATCGGCCATGTTTGTCACTCTCTCCGTATGTAAGCCCGACACCCGGATTTACAGGGAAATCCAGAGTGCCATAAGAGGGGAGGTTGGGAACTTCAAGGGATTTCAAGTGGAAGGAGACCAGCATAATTAGCATGAGTCAGGATAAGTATAAAATATCAATTTTAGTCAGAAAATTACATTGGTGGTGTTGTTTTTTTACCAGTTTACGAATGGGAATATATGCGTTTATGTCGACTTGATGAATACTGGTGCACGAGGTGCAGTGCCACTTAGCAGCTGTGTTAAGTGAAACAGAAACAAGTTCGATCGTGTTTTGTTAGAACTGTTTCTACAAGTCATGTACCGTCAATGCGAACAACTCGTGAACCCCCGCCGTGATATTGCTAAAAGCGGCGTAAAACTAAACTCACTCACTCTGACCGCCTCTGTGGTGGAGTGGATAGAGTCTGCCCGGAGTGACAGGTCGGTGGTACGACGACAGCTGTTATGTAAAAAAATCTCTCACCGTTCAGGGCTTTCCTGATAATCCATTAAATTAGGTAACAAAATTCTGTTATGCTCTTTGGCTTTTTGTAATGTCAATATAACGATATAGATTACGGATAAAGGGCGAGTAGCGACGAACGTATTGAATATTTTCTGACAATCTTGCGAGCTTGCTTTGGAGATTTTACGTGTGCTGTCCGCCTTTTTTTTAAGGCTTTGTAATTATTAATAGTTACGCCTTTCAAAATACAAATTAAAACTTTACCAATAAACCATAATCTTAAATACTGTGCTTACATTTCACTTCACTGGGAATATTTTAGTCTCGTTTCTGGGGTCCATCATATTCTTTCCATCGCATTCATTATAAGTTCCACCAGGGTATGACAGCAAGGTTACATGCAAGTTCAGACAACAACACTATAACATGGCAGGAATCTCCACGAATTCATCAAGTGAAGACTAATTGGAGCTAGTGTTAATATATCTATGGCATTCTTAAGAAGAACAACAAGCCTAAATCTTAATGGTGTGATGACGGCAGAAGGTGTCTCATGATGTGATGACGTCGCTCTCTACCTCAATGATGTGATATCAAATGTGTTATATCTCAAAGGTGTGATGACGCCAGATGCGAATCCGCATTATCAGTGGTTCAAGGGAGGTTGAAATAGTTTCTTTATAATCAAACAATATAAAACAACACGGGCACTTGCTCCGAATCTTGGTCGTATAGACATCGGTTGGCGCTATTGGTTGAGATTTTGACCTTTTATGTCAGATAGGGGTCATATGCTATTCGCCGAATTTCAACTTCTGAGAGTCCTACGACAATATCATTGCCAGTTAATATTGGACATGGTTGGGTTTTGAGAATGGCGCGATGGTTTAACGTGCGCTAAGTCTTGTCCACTTCGGCGTGAAATGTGATAAAGTTTCCATCAATATATTTAAACTCAAATGTAGTGATAATCATTTAGACTCACGTTAGGTTGTTTTAAGTTACATGTGGGTCCGTATCCGAAACCCAGTATCTAATCCATACATAGAGAATACTACACGAGGTCTCATTACATACGAATTATACGAAACGAGTGTCCTTCCTATGGTATCTGACCGAGCGAATTTCGTATAATTCGTATGTTATGAGACCGAGTGTGGTATTTTATTTACTACCAACGTCTTACATGCTTTAAATTGACAAAATAGCGCATTTTTGTTATTTTTATGGTATCACACAGAAACCGGTTTCATAAAGAGGTTGCGGAAGAATGTTGTTCTGTAGAACACTTTTTGCATGACGTCACACTGTAATGACGTCACTACGCCTTGCTCGTCTGCCCCCATGGTAACCGACGTCACGATGCATGTCAGTTGTCATCGCCTCGTACAGCCTCCTACAGTAAACTACTCCGTAGCACCCTGTTTCTTGGTTTGCAGTTGCTTCATTCGGCTAACATCACTTGTGGAAACATTGCGTTTGTTTTTCGACGCATATAATGTCTCAGTTCGACTCCCAATAGACCGATCCAGTCTGTCAATCAAAACTGGCGCATGCGTCAATTTTGGCCAATCAGCAGGCCGGGCGCGCTGTGTGTATTTGTCACACTTATTTCCGGGGTCAAACGATGCATCCGAAGCGATGTGCTTCGAATTATGCCATTTACACTCGCTATATTTATTACATATTGCTGCGATTTGATGTGTACCTTAACCAAACCATTACGGTCAAGACAACAAAAATGGAGGCGGATCCAGAAACGCGATAGGCCTGACGATCAGTTAAATGTCTGCACCATCGTTCAGGAAACCTACGTCTGCCTGCTGATGAGAATTTGCACGAATTTCCACACTTTTGCACATGTGCAAAATCATTACCAATTGATGACAACAAATAGCACTTTAAGACTTTGCAAGTGTTATAAACACGGACAATTCTTGTAACTACAAAATTGTTTTTGCTTAACGTTTTTAGTCACTACTAGGCATTGAGTTGGTACGCCATAAAGCTCAAAAGAGACAGGCGAGAAAGCCGTGACACAATGTAAACAAATCTTCATTTCGGTTAGGGTCAGCCGAAATAGCAAAACATGTTACATGAAAGAACAATGTGGCGGATATTATCCCCTTCGCTCTTAGATATTCTTCAGTTTGTCACACATTTTAGGATGTTTTAAGTTTCATAAGCACAATCTGAAGGCCTACAGTATCTTGTTAACAGAGCAAAATATTCGGGGGAGTAATATTTTTTATTCAAACGGAAATATTGTCAGTGTCAGCAGTTGCCTATCATGCAATATCCAAGTATCAAAATTAGTTCATATGAGTGCCTATAAAACCATGCTTGAAATATTTCAGATTTTTTATGAAGAGTTGCATGGCACTTTGAACTGAATTACCTTCCTCCAGGTTGATCGAATACGAAAACTATGTGAGAAGAATAGTGACTTTCTGGAGTATTGGACGGAGTGAAATAAAGTGCATATCTTAATTATTAGAACATTATTTGAAGTTTTGTTACCACATAAATTATTCACATATAATGGTACATTTTAGGAGAAATATTACAACTGTAATTTTGATTAATTCACTGGAAATGATATCAAGGTATGCTTTAAGAATCTTGCTTTTTTTAGTAAACGTGGAAGGGTAATAAAATTAATAATAATCTAATCAATAATAAATAATTATTTAATTGATTGACATATCAGATGTTTTTAGATTTTAAGGCAGAAGTAGGCTAACAAACACCATACATATCATGGCAGGACAATCACTTGGTATTAACTTAGTTTCTTGGCTCCTGCTTTTAGATGTTGTTTTTTTAAATACTACATTTACTAATAAAATAATTATGAAAGTGATTGCTAGTATCATAACTCATTAAAGTTATTTCAACATACAGAAAATTTGAAAAGCAAAGGCTACGTTTTGGTCAAACCCTGGTCAGGCATTATCTAGTCCTGGAACAGAATAACTTACAAAAATCTCAGGTGACTTTTCATGTAACGGAATAAAGATTGAAACATATATTTAACCCATATTTGATGTAATTCTACTGATAAATCATAAGTTTTTTAGGAGGTTACTACTATTTGAAGACTGAGCCAAAGCTAGTGTTTATTAACATGGTGGATTTGGACAAATTGTTCAAGGTTTGTTGATGGTTATTTGCAAAATGAGCTTCATATTAAATTGCACACTGGTTTGTAGGAGGTGAACGCTTCAGGACATTTTCATGTCTGTTTTCCTAAACCTTTGTTATCACTTTTACCAAATTTTGAATTAACTTTACTATAATTTTTATGACACCAGTAAGTATCTCAGAAAAGGAAATAGATCAACATCAGTGTTATGTCCTCTAGGGATATGGTCTCAGATCTAATAAAACAAAGATTATCATTGTTTAATTAAGAAGCAATAATTGTATTGACAGGAGGCTTTGAACATAGGATATATTCTTTGCACCTTATTTACTCTAGTAGTTAGCAGTTTAACATCTCTGATGAAAAAACAATAGATCTACATTTGTATTTTGTGTAACATTCTATTTCAATGCTAGTTAATTGTTCGAATAACTGTGGATTCTCTGTTCCAAAATTTTGCATCACATGTTTCCTATTTCTGGAAGATGGGTCAGCTAGTGTATAGGTGCATACTGTATCTTGGATCTTCTTTGTGTTCTGGTGCTGTAACATACCTGTACATAAGCGCTGGTAGTTCATGAAGTCCAGTATTGTGGAAGTTTGTATGTAAATTCGGATTCCACAACAAAGTACATATAGAAAAATTAAATGGAAATGATGATTAAAAAAATGATTTCCTTATATTCAGTGTCATTTTATCATGGTGTACAGATTTTGAAGAGAGAAACTTTACTGAGAGTTGCTGCAGATCAGCTGTTGAATATTTTTTCTGGGTATGTCCAGATACGTCCATGGAAACATATTGTTTACAAGCCTAATTACTATGGATTAAATAGGTTATGCTGTGATTGATTTGTTTACATTAATTGTACAGACAAAAAAGGTGCATGAAGTAGTAGACGGGAAATATTTTCTGCTTTTTATTTAATAATAAATAATAATAATAATAATAGTGCATTTATATAGCGCTAATTCCAAACATAAGGATGCTCAAAGCGCACAAACATGGTTTGATATTAGGGAAAGTCAGGGAAAGCTTGGCGAATTTACCATTCTCTTAATTCATTAAAAGATAGAAACCCATGTTTTCAGATTATTGAACTAAATTTGAACAACGCAAACGGACAAGTAAAGGCGCCACGCGCAGTGTTGATAATCTATTTATAGTTACCGAAACGATCTGCAACATGACCATGTGGTTGTCTTCACTAGTTTTAAAAAATTATAAACCCAAACAACAAAATTCAGTTATCCTTTCCCTGCTAATATCTGTGACGGAGGTGAATTGCCAGATAGATTAATTGATTCGAAAGAAATTACGCTTCCTACAGCCTCAGCAGCTAGTCTAGACGCTTTTTCGTCGGGAATGTAACTCATTTTCACTCATCAGTTGTAATCTGCCAGCTAAAATATATTAAAAATCACATACGCATAACTTGCCTCTTTAAATAACATTCACAAACGACGGATACCAAAGTATCACAAGCAGAATTCATCAACAACGTTCGCAATCACGTAACGTTTCGCCGGCGGTGACGCCATTGTGATTTGCCAGTGGTTGTCCCCCCTAACGTCAAAAACGAAGTGGGCGGGGCTTATCGGCCGAAACTGGATCGGTCTATTAACGGATCGCCAGTGGAGAGTTAACCACGCCCCCAAAAGAAAGGGAGATAACTCTCAAAAGGTCCGACAACATCGCTGTCAAAACCAACTGTCAAGATGGCAGTCGTGATATCGTTTAGAGACATTCCCGATGATATTGGCCCGAAATATTTGCCTTATGAACCTACTTTGGGGCAAAAACAACGTGGAGTGGCTTTTAGTTCGGCCTCATACCTTCATTCCGTTACTTTCCTTTCATGTTGTGATAATATCGTGTCGATTTGCGGGAGGATTTATAGAAGTCAACGGAAAACCGAAGCTCCTCATGTAATCAACTTGTCCCTTGACAGAATTCACAAATCGTTCACTGACGCCCATTGTAGCTGCAAATGTGGGTGAGTAGTACACGAAATAACTTCGGGTGCCTTTCCAATTTATGGCATAAATCTGTTGGGGTTTTATAAGCGGCATATATAGATATCAAATCAATTTGAATTACACGTCTGTGTGCTGGCCGCTTCAGTTGTTGACAATGAAACCCATGTTATCCCATATAATTACGTTAAATTTCTATCATCGTGAAAGAAACAGATTCTGTAATAAATGTAAGAGGTAAATGTAATATCTGTTGTTAGGCATTGCGGGAATAAAACCATGTAAATGTATTTTCTTCTCAATTATATTATATATTATATATTCCTGCTGTCACAGTTCTGTAACAAATTTATTCACCCTATTCTCTTCAGTGCAAGTGGAAAGTGTTCCCATGTACTGGCACTTGTCCTGATACTGGAAGGCTGGAAGATATCAGGCTATCAAGCCATTCCTTCACAACCCTCTTCCACTAGCCTGCCTCAGCAGTGGGATAAACCAAGGGGACCAAAGATTGAATCTGAAGCAGTGTCACAGATAATTATTGCCAGGCCTGGAAATCTCAATAGGAAAAGGAGACCTGTGATGGCCACATTCAATGACAACAGGTGATGTTATTATATACATCAAGTTTTATTTCAGATTCTGAACTTGTTTTATGAAAATGATGTATCATAATGCAAGCATTACCTATATGACATTTTTACTCCATGATCATCAGATATTTCCAAGGTAGAAAATACTCATCACAGTTTAGAAAGCAATATCAGATGACTATTGAGCAGTTGTTTGCATAAATATTACAGTTCAGATAAGTGAACAAGGAACAAGAGCACGTACAAAATATTCATTGACATTGCAAGTTTTTAACATACACAAATACAATACTTGTGACTAATACTTTTTGTACTTGCAGGAAAGTTCAAATACAGGAGTCTGACATGACTCTGCTGCACAGTTTGAAGAGATTCCCTATTTCATACCTGACAGATACATGTACCAGCACCAGTCAGACAGTTGACACACCAATAGGTCCTCAGGTTGTTGGATCAACTCTTGGACATCAAGTAATTAATCTTTATCTTGAATTAAATATGGCATAAAATTGGTCAAGAAACAGCACACAAACCAAATTTGATTTACTGAGGAAAACAAACTTAAATGCAATTTTTTACCCTTCCAATGGCATTTTCGACCACCACTCTGTGTGTTGCATTGTTCACTGTTTCTGCCACATCAGACACACACATCTGACCTATACCTGGTGCAAAAGGGGGAATGTTGCGTAATCCAGTGGCCCTTATTTCCTTTTCAATATTAAAGCCCTTGTCTGCCATCAGACCATCTCCCACTTTAAGTTTCCCACACTTAACCATTTCTCTGAGGAGGGACAGATAACCACTTTTTTCAGTTAATTCTTTGTCTGATATCGCCCCAGAAAACAGCATTGATATGAATGTAATTGAACCTCTTGGGTCCACACCAATGAGACCTTTCAGGGTAGTACTTGATTTGTAATTTGAATATGCTTGACTTTGCCTTGTCAGTGAAGAGGGTCTCTGAATTTTTATTTCTGTTCCATCAATGATACTAAAAGTGTTTGGAAATTCCTGGCGAAATTTTGAAGGCATATGTTGCTGCAAAACATCACGGTGAGGCCAAATTGACACAGATCCAAACCTGTAATATAAGTAATTTATCCAATTTGAAAACGCAGTACTGCAATCTTGGGGTGATATCAGAAACAACTTTGAGAGATGTTTAAAATCAAAATTCGGTCTAAGTTTAATCAGAACAAGCAAAAGCTGGTCTTCAAGACCCATACACTTCAAACTGCTAACTGTTCTGGTAAATTGAAAAGGTTCATCATCAGCATTGCCAGGGACAACAAATTTAAATATTTTCTTAAACTGTTCGTAGGGAAATCCTGTGTAATACTTGTAATCTTTATTCTCTATATTTTTACAAAAAGAATACACATCATGCTTAACATTTTTAGCACTAATTTTGGTGTTGATCTGTTGGGCACGCATGAGCTCCTCCTTTTCTAGGATCAGTTTGGCCATATTTTCTTTGAGTTGCTTGTTCTCTGCAGCTAGAGCCAGCATATCCAGTGGCAGAGGACCTGTAAAAGCAATTACAGCTGTTTCAAGCAATAATACATTCTACAGGGAAGAAATGATCTGGCTAGTTTAGGGCACCAAACTCATTATTAGGCCTGAAACAGACTTACCTATTATCAATCTGACTTGTTGTAATGTTTAAAAATGCTTTGCACACAGAAGAATAAGTTAAGAATGAACACATAGCACCCACAACATACTTGTTTCAATTTGAGATTTAAGAAGAAAAACAGCCTTATTACCTCCCTTGTATAAAACTAAATGTGAATAAACAGGCTTCTTCTCTTTACAGGCACCCTTAATTAGACCTGGTTCCAAAGATGGAGGACAGGTGCGGAGATGTCACATTTCCAAAAGATGACAACTTGCCCGAACTGGATTCAATTGCAACTTTAAAACATCAGTGGAAAGATTTAGAACTTTCAGTTGACGAGTCCCATAATTTAGAAAAAAATACAAGATCTCAAAGCAAGTCTGATTTGTGGTACAAAGCAAGGAAAGGGCGAATTACTGCTTCAAACTTTGGTCTGCTCATGACTCGCAAAAAACAAATCAATGACACATTTATCAGAAACACCTTTGACAAAGAGAAATTTTCCTCCAATCCAACAACTTATGGGAATTCTAATGAGAAAATAGCTAAACAAATGTACATGAAAAAAACTCAAAATCATCTTCATGACATTGGCTTTGTTGTAAACCCATCTATTCCATTTATAGGAGCCACCCCTGATGCTATAGTGTGTGACACTTCTGTTTCTGGTATTGTGGAAATTAAGTGTCCTTATGCTGTAAGGGACTTGACCATTAATGAAGCCTCCTGTATGACTGGTTTCTTTTTGAAAAAAAGAAGGAAAATATTACAACTTGAAGAGAGGTGATAGGCATTGGTATCAGGTACAGGGCCAACTACTTGTAACTGGGGCACCATTTTGTGACTTTGTAACCTACACCAGACAAGACTTTAACATTGAACGGATATATCCAGATAGGAATACCTTCAGGACTCTGCTTGAAACTCTGTCACAAACATATGTCAATCACTTCAAACCATACTTTGCAAGGAAACAAACTTCATAAAAAATTACCCATGGTGTCACTTTGTTGGACAAGAATATCAGATTCCTGCTGCATGGTTGTAGGCTCTGGATGTTCCATATCCATCTGATTTGGTGAATCAGAAATATCTGTATCATGATTACATCTGAAAAAGAAGATGAAGACCAAATTATCTTATACCTGAACCTCAAATGTATTACAGCCTTTAAATGGTTACCATCTTTGTCTATTTCCTATAACTTCTTGATTACCTATCAGGACTATTTATGCCTGGATTAACTTTTCTAATATATGTGTTTATTGCTATTACAATTCAGCGATAAATAACTTTTGGCTTCACTTGTTAAGTGCCCACAGTTGACATCATATGACTGTTGTTCTTTCATATGTAATATTGCCATCTGCTTCCTAGTTTTATTCGTCTCCCAGCTGATGAAGGATAAAGAATATATTCTGAAACACTGTGCCCATCAGAGAAATGACAAGTATGAATGGACTAGTTGTATGTGGATATTGGACCATCTGATTCATACATTATCTCTATATTTGAGAAGTCATCTTTTCTGTATGAAATATTAGCAATCTCTGGATAGGAGACTAATGGCTGTGTCTGGCCATGCCATGTAAAAAAACATCTATAAATATGTAAATTAATGTTGTATTTAAACATATTTAAAAGAACCACTGTCGTGGATGATCTCAGTGGTTACAGCAAATGTCCATGTTGATGTATTAATATTTATGATGGATTGTAATGAATACTTTGGATCCTTCAGAGTTATTGTGTCTTATCACTCAATATTATGGGACCTGGGTGAAACACAGTTTTGTCTGGAGCAATTAGATTTTTATGTCAATATGCACCTGTTGCAGGTGATATCAGTCCCTTCATCATGCTTATATGAACAGAACTTGAGTATGATTGTGATCTTGTGATGCATGTGATACTTCTGTCTTTTCGTAACTACAAAGGATCTAAATGTGTGACATTACCTTTACTAACTTTCTGTGATACTCTCAGAATAAACAAGGATTTGTTTGATTATTATGTTTCAATGTTTTTGTTGTGTTTTGTGAGCAGTAAGTATAAAGGCAACAATGTTTTACCTGTGTGTTTCAAGAAGAACTTTCCTTTTTCTGTCGCCCATAAATGGCAAGCGTGGTTTGGGTCGTGGTCTTACTGTCTTTGGATTTTCATTTTGTTCATGAGGTAGTGCAGACGCAGGGTCCGGAAATGTCTTGGAGGGTTTTCCATCAACAAAGTGCTGTAAATAAGCTCGCATTTATTAGTCGATAGAAACGACGAAAAAACAACATGGATGTATCTGAAATCGTATGCTCAAACACAGACATCGTCTGTCCTTGACATACCACGCGGTGAAACATTAGTAACTAAATCAGTGAAAATCGGTGTACTGGTTATAACAACTAAAAAGCACTGAAAGTCTACCAAGTCAAAGATTTCTAAATTTACATTAACTTCAACATTGGTTAAGGTGTTATTCAATTTTAGTTTCCATACCTTTGTACATACGAAGAAATGTTTTCCTCGGCTGTGGTCACGAAGTATGTCCATGTTCAGTTGATACTTGGGGCGACCACACAAACGTATCCATCGTTGACATTTGTCAAAATTTCTGGCAGGCTTGGGAAATGGAATAAAGGTGATACCACCAGCAAGTCGTTCCGGGTACCGCGTGTCCGAGTTGCAGGTACCCCAGCTACACCTTTTCACCATGATCAAAACGTTTACTGTAAACGTCGATTTATTTTTGAAAAGTCCGCCAGACCGCTGATGTCGGACAAAATGGTGGTCAGCTGTCAGCTGACGGCAACGCGATGCGGATTGAATAATTTGACGTTTCTCATTGGTCATGTCATTTGTTTGATTGACAGGTGGCGATACGTTAATTTAAACAGCGATACAGTAACGTTCGCAATGTTTACATTCCCACAATGCATTTAAGTTGTAGAATGAATGAATTCACGTGTTTGTTATGAATGAAAAAGTAGTTCCCTCACAACGTAACCTAATATTGATAGCACACTCCACACTCCACACTCCGGCACACACTCCGGCACAGCGATGACCACTCTCCTACCCAGAGTTCCATGCGGCAAGCCAGCATAGTACCTCTGCCACAGGCCACAAAAATCTTACGATTCGTCACATCTTGCAATGTCCATTCAATATAATGTACAGATTTATTTTACTCTTTTATTTTTGACGAGTCTACACATCTAACTAAACATCTTTAATAGAATGGTTTAGTTTCACTGAGAAAATTTCCCAAAACATGTAACACTATTTCGATTTGCGTAGCGATCCTTTGTTTACATAGGTTGTACGGCTCCACGTACTGTCATTGAAGCTGATGGAGAGCAAACGATGCAGCCAGTTTGATATCTAAATATGTACTGTCATAGACCTTACTGTCGCAGTTGTGAAAGAATATATATGCAACAATGTAAAACATTATAAAGAGAGCGCCGAAAAGCTTTTGTGAGTCCAGTCTCTTGTTATTATGAATATGCGCGTTTGATTACAAACAAGAGAGAAGTCCGGTCACGTGATATGCAAATTAGCCTGTGGCAGTGATGTTATGTTAAGTCATCGCTGTGCCGGAGTGTGAGCGATGACTTAACATGCCGCATGGTAGGAGAGTGAATTGAGAGGTCATGGGTTATCCAATCAAATCGTTAGAATCTCAGGTCAAGTCGCAACGACACAGGTCAACGCGATACGACACTCGTGTGACGTACGAGATTAGTATGCAACTACCCATACGTTGACCACGTGGGTAATAATTCAGTGATACTGACCTCTAACAATCGTAAAGCAAAATGCTGCTATTCATATACATGGAAATGTTTCGCTAAATAGAAGAAATTGTGAAGTTTTACGATGAATCGATTCGGACGACGCAGTTCATCGTGTTTGTGTTTTTTCAGAAATAGGAAACGCAGCTGCTTAACTCCAGTGTGTATTTAGAGTTGTCTGCCTTCGAAACCCGAACCACTGATTATGCAGTTTCGCCATCGGGAGATATCTCAATGATGTGGTCAAGTTAGAAGGTATCTCAGTGATATAATGACGCCAAAGGTATCTCAGTGGTGTGATGACATCATAAAGGTATATAAGTGGTGTGATGACGTCAGATGGTATCTCAGTGGTGTGATGGCGTCAGATGGTATGTTAAGCTGGTTCCCGGCTCCCTTTCCGCGCGCTAACGTTCGCAAAAGCTATATATTGCGATATGCGAGACGGGGCCCAGCTTAATGGTATGTCAGTAGTGTGATGACGTCAGAAGGTATCTTACTGATGTGGTGAGGTCAGAGGGTATCTCGATAAATACGTTAACATCAATACTCTTGTATGAGTGATTTCTGACAAGAACAAGAACAAAATAACGATTGCAGATTTTATTTGAAACTTTATGATTGTCGCTGCTTTCCGGTCTGTGTCAATACTAACACGTTCCATGGACGCATCTTCCGAGTTTGCTGTCGAACTTTGTTTTGCCTGGACACGTTCTCTCCACCTTAGCGCCATGAGAGCACTCAAAGTACTTCTTGCAGTTGGTGCCATGAGCAAACATCCGGTAGCCTTTCCCTGCGCATGTGCTGTCGGGGGTTGTCGCCAGCTGGGTACATCCGGGTCGCGCAAGGTCAAACCATGTTCCAGGTGCGCAGTGGCGTAAGAATGCTACACTGTTGCTGCAGTGGTAGAAACGTCCAGAGTTGGTAGCGTGGGCGATGAAGGTGGTTTTACCTTTAGGACACCTACCTGGATGGGAAAAGGAGCTTAACTGTCATAAAACAGGAACAGAAATGGCACGTTTATAAGATAGCTCTCCTTTGACAAGAAATGATTTCATTCTGTTGTTTCCTAGGGACTCCACGAAATCCGACTAATCACAACAGTCCAATAACTCCCCTCAGCCAACACAGGAAGGAATTGACCAGTTGCACCTGTTCACGTGACTATCACATAACGCAATCTAGCAAGTACCTAATTTCAACTACCCATAGTAAAATAGCCTTTCCTCAAAATTAGCCGGTATATTGTACGAATCTTGCGAGGTACCTCCACTCTATGATCGTCTGCTCCCCGAGTAGGTGATGGAATCAGGCGAGTGAACCCAAATGGTCGCAATTGTAAAGTACATAATGGAACTGGTTTCGTGTTCTGTCCAATGGCAACCTGTCACGAACTAAATATAACTAACCAAACTGTTCATGTATTTCCGTATTCACCCACGTTAGACTTCGTGTTACACCACCTATTTCCTGCAGGATCTGGTTTGTGGGCGCTTTCTACATAAACAAGACGACATGCGGTGGCCAGTATATCGTGGATTTCGATTGGACGACAATAACAAAGGTTTGGACATTGGTATGGGATGCAAAGAAAAGTTTGTAAAGTAAAATGATCCAGCGTTCGCAGTTTAATTATTTACACATTGCTTTTGCCTGATATGTGGACATACGACCATGTTTATAGTTGTAATTAAGGACGCTACGCATGCGCACCTTTAACCGGATATGGCTCACATTTGCAAGCGGAATTCGTTTATCATTTTGATAATAGAGCGTCCGCCCGGAGAGCGGAAGGTCGCAGGTTCGATCCCCGACCGCGTCATACCAAAATACGTAAAATATGGTACTTGTTGGTCCCTGCCTGGCGCTCGGCATTAATGGGTACATCAAGGACTGGTCGGCTCGGAGTCAGTATAATGTGTCTGAGTGGGGTATTCATGCTTCCCTGCGGCATGGTATCTCAGTGGGCTAGCACTATAAAACAAGCTTCAGTCTGGGCTAGTACAAGCAGCCGCACATACACATACACTCGCATGCACGTCGTCATATGAGCGAAATATTCCCCATCACGACGTTAAACCCAATTTCACCTCACCTCACCTCATTTTGATGAAATAGATAATAGAAGCTTACGTAAAAGTTCCATTGCATCGGGCATAAAGCATCAATTTCTACACAAAACCAACATACTTGGGAGTTGGGAACACATTAATTAATTAATACGGGTCAGGCGACATAACATTACGTTGTTGGATTGAGATTTCAAGACGATTCTTCATTCATACCTAAATTCATTTGAATTGGAGGCGCTGGGTTAGACTGCTTAAAGCGTTCGCTCGTCACGCCGAAGATCCAGGTTCGATTTCCCGCTTGGGAGGGGTAAAATATGTGGAGCCTATTTTTGGTGGTGTCCCCCCGCCGTGATAGTGCTGAAATATAGCTAAAACCATACTCACTCACTCACTCACTCACTCGCCTGAACTGTCGGACTTACTTCCACAGAGGCTGGTGCCGCAGGCTATGGTCCTGTTCTGATAGGAGTCACCCCGGCAGTAGGACCCGCCGTGGGTGGGTCGGGGGTTGGTGCATGACCGGGTGTGGTCCTGGTCTTTGGTCCCGCCCCCACACAATACACTGCACTCATCCATATCTCTCCACGGCGACCAGCCCGACCAGCCGCCGTTTTCTGAAACGACGCATTGGAGGCCATGTTGATATCATTGCATTGTGTCATTTTAGATCATAATACTCTGACCACAAAGAGAAACTGTACACACATATAAACTGGAACTAGATGAGTAGACAGCTACAGATGTAAACACAGTCATTAGTGGACTGAACAGATACGTGCTACGTTTAGTGACGGATGGGCACGTGCACGACGTTTATGCATGTGCATCATTATAAACTGCCCCGACTGTACATGGTTATAAGGCTATTGGGACGGGGATGTCTCAACGTCAGGTGACTGCGCATCCGGCGCTATGAGATGACGTCATCCGGCGTTATGAGATGACGTCATCCGGCGTTATGAGATGGCGTTATCAGAACAATAAAGAAGTCGCCCATGACCCACGCTTAGGACGTCGCACCCCCAGGACACGACAGACGGATACGCGTGACCCATCTCCGGCACTGGTTCCAGAGTGTAGTGACAAGTGCTCAGACCAGTCCAGGACTTCGGCATAGCCATCAAACGCAGTCAGGAACTACTCACGTCATCAGTTGATACAACCACGTCAGCCCTCCATACCACCATTCCTGACGTTGTGTACAGACGACTCAAGTTTCCGACGGACGTGAAGTCTGCAGACGTCTTGGAAAGCTTTATGTTCAAGCCTGTGTCATGGTGAGGAATCGCTTTGGGGATGGATCCTTGGATATGGTAACTGCACGTCGGAGAACCCTTGTAGTTGTTCAGGGCAGTTTGACAGGTGTAGGCTGCAGAGATCAGATCCTCGGTCCAGTGGCAATTCTTCTTTCTTCTATGCCATAGATTGACATACCAACAGCATAATGTCGACCCAGTGTCGGTCCAGTGGCAATTCTTCTTTCTTCTATGCCATAGATTGACATACCAACAGCATAATGTCGACCCTCACACGGCTGGGGACGCTATGGCTTTTCTTCAACAACACAAGGTTCAAGTCATTAGGTGTGTGGCATTGTTGCTTGAGTCCTGCCCACCATTTGGACTCAATGCCATACACTTTAAGATTTGTTTTCCGTCTCCTCCCTACGAACATTTAAAAACTGCATAGAAGAGTTGTTGAATTAACCTAACGTGAATGTATCTAGTTATAAACAGGCCATCCCAGTGGAAGGCTGGCCATCAACGTGCACTTGCCACAATCTAATGTCGGCTGACAGGGAACAGCAAGACTGACCAGGCACCTCTCGGGACATTAAATACACTGTCACTTGTGCACAAACTATTGCCAAGACGTGTATTGATTAACAACATACACAACATATATCAGGATACTCACGTGCTTGAATCCTGTAGCAGGTCGAGTAGTACCTGGAGAACAGTAACACAGATTGGATGCTGTAATTGTTAAAGTCGTTCAATACAACGATATAGATATGTCTGGTCCTCTCCGATAGTGCTTACTTCCTTACACTCACTGATAACGAAATCGAAATCAGTACACCAACAAACCCTGGATTTGAAATAACTGAAAGCTGGTGTTAAAAGTGTTCCTTCACCGCGTCGAAAAAAGAAGTTCGGATCCTTCATTGGTACTGAACGTGCATGACACCAGGTGTTCCAGGTGTTACAACAGGCGTCAGTGGCTACGACATGGCGGGTAGGAAATATGACGGTAGTGTTCAGATCATTCTTATTACTCACCTTCTCCAGAAACTTCCTCTACTGCATCTGTAGCTCACGCTGGAACAAAGACGCAACGTGAGTACATGACCCTGCATGGCTGGGTGTTGTGTTAACTGTACTGCAGTAGTAGTAGTAGTAGTAGTAGTAGTAGTAGTAGTAGTACGACGTGTGATCTTCGGGATATTAAGACATTTTCAACAAATGCCGTCACATTTCAGCTGGGCACTGCTCCTGTCCAAACATCCCACAGTGCTACATATAGCACAGTAATACCTCTCTAGCATGTGACTGTGATAGTGCGATGTTGCCCAAATGCTCATCTAAGCCTGTGTGGTTACATTGCTATAGTACTGTCGGAAATAGAAAAAAACCTGTTTTTAGGCTGTTACTCTGTATCAATAACATTTCCACAATTGCAAATAGCATATGTTGAAATAACCCACATCGGCCTAACTGAGCGTTCAGTGGGATGCGTAATACGATATACAGAAAAGCATGTTTACTGGTAAAATCGGGCAAAACTTAGAAAAAATACGAATAGCTGCTGAAAACAATAGATCAGACTATAGATGGCAATTAGGTCGCTCAGCCAGGTATGACGACGGACCGTCAACTCACTTGGCATGAAATGCACGTGCTGCCCACAGACACAAGGGGTCATCTCAAATATCTTTTGAGCTTTTTCATGTGTATTGAATATGTCTCTACTGAATATCTAATCTTAGCTAATATCTCTATCCCCAAGCCCGACCCCAACTACCGTCAGCAACACCCGTCTTGGTTTTACTTTTGAGACGACCCCTCCTACCTGTTTCTTTTTATAGTGATAGTGAGACTCAATGGTATCTATATCCCCAATAATTTCAGTATTAAAGTTGTTATTTTATACGTTTGCTATCGTTTATTATGAAGCTACGTCTAGTTTCAAAATGGATATTCAAAAAGTGTCATTTGTTATACAATATCATCGCACACTAATTTGCATAAAGCCATGGTCTGCTCCAAATAAGTCTCTTCTGACTTGACAAAACCTCATTGCTCATTTCTGCACTAATATCCTCCTCAGTAAAATCCTTCTTTTACGTTTCCTATCTCCCTCCCACTGAGACTGTAGTTAGGCCGAGCTTAGTTCAACAGATATTTCACACTTTCACATATTAACTACCTAAATTGTAGATATAAATGTGAAAAAAACATGTTTTTCTATTTCCGACGATACTTTAGGATTTCCATCCCACCGTATGTGTTAAATAATGGCAGCCAATTATTGTCTCCACTATCTTCTATGTGTGTGGGGTGGTTAACGGCACACGCGCTAAAGATACCACTCATTTTGTGATTGATCAAGGACACACTGCCAGAGTGTTTCGGGGTTTAGACAACTGATTCAACCGTGGCGACTGTAGGAGGGTAGCCCCAAACAGGGCACACAGACAGATGCTGGTTTCTACTGCTCGGAAGACTGTGCGCAAACTCATGTTACCCTGCTATGAAACATATATGTTCCTACCCAGAGCTAGTCAATAGTCATAATATCAAAATAGCACTAGCAAATGTGATCAAATGACATCAACTGCCTGTAAATATAACATTAAATTATTCGACCATTATCAGTACTGGAATATCTCCATGGGACACTGAATGGAGAAGAGTTGCATGTCATGTAATATCATTGTGTCAGGTAGACTGGTGGGAAATGAAATAAAGGACAACTCACACAAAACTTTATAGTGCTAATTTATCCTCATTCTGGAGGAAATAAGTGAATTAATTTATTCGTTCATTCTACTACTGCCTACTTCTACATCTACTACTACCTCAAATACTACTACTAGAACAACAACAACAACTACTACTACTACTACTACTACTACTACTACTACTACTACTACTATAGTATGACCAGAAATTATTGAGAATTTTAGGAATATGTTTAATTGGATTTCTAGTATAAACAACCTTGACCAGCTATCAAGTGCTTGGTTTCATTCAAGAGAGACAACTCCGTTAATCCTTTTTCATTAGTTTGTGAAGTGTTATCCCCCCTTTGTTTACTTGCTAGCAGACGACATTTTCAGTGATCCTCAGTATGGATGATTTAGAGAAGAGGAAGTTGATTTTAGAGTATTATAACTGAGCACCAGGGAGGCGCAGGTAGGCCCAGAAAATTGACTGTCGGTGACAGGAGGCGGCTTGGTATTCTTGTTTCTAAAAACAAACGAAGGAGTTTAGAAAACTTCAGGCTGGATATGATTGATAGAGGAACTGTGGCTGTCTGTAAGGAGACGATTAGAACTGAGCTGTGTGCAATGGGTTGGCAGAAAAGTCGAGGGATTCCATCACCGATCATGAAACCTGAACCAAAGGAGCGAAGGTTGAACTTGTGCTTACTGCATAGAAATTTTACCTGGGACAATGTGATTTTCTCAGATGAAAGTTCTGTGTGGCTGTTTCCTACTACACTGAAATTCTGGACCAAACAAACTGAAAAACCTTTGTATCAACGCCCAAAGTACAGTCCGAAATTTAACGTGTGGGGTGGCATATCTGTGTTAGGGGCAACGCCCCTCTGTGTATTTGAGGGAATATGAACAGTGAGCGGTACACAGATTGGCCTGGTTTCGGACCCAAAATATGACATTATTAGATTGACCAAGCTATAGCCCTGACCTAAATCCAATAGAAAATGTTTGGGGACTTATGAAGGAAAGTGTCAATAAGAAAAATCTGACAAATATTGCTAAAATGAAAGAAAAGGGGGTCCGATATTTGGACAGCATGGACCACGACTTTCTAACTTCTTTTATCAGTAGCGTGCCCCGCCACATATGATTGAAGCCTGCATTGCTACCCATGGTGCCTTGACAAAATACTAACTGTTCACCTGTCTTTGAATCTGGAGTTATGTTCTGCTAATATTCACATTTAAGACGTGAGTAATGAGTGAAAAATATAAAAATAGTATTCTCAATAATTTCTGATAGTACTGTACAACTACAACAACTACTACCTCAAATACTACTACTAGAACAAGAACAACAACTACAACTACTACTACTACTACTACTACTACTACTACTACTACTACAACTACAACAACAACTACACCAACAACTACAAATACAAATTCAACAACTACTACTACTACTACTACAACAACTACTACAACAACAACTAAAACAACAACAACTACTACTACTACAACAACAACAACTACTACTTCTACTAGAAAAAACAACAACTACTACTGCTACGACGACAACAACTACTACAACAACTACTACAATAACTACAACTACTACTACTACCTCAAATACTACAACTACTACAACAACTACTACAATAACTACAACTACTACTACCACCTCAAATACTACAACTACAACAACTACTACTGCTACTACTACTACAACTATAACAACAACTACTACTACAACTACTACTACTACTACTACTACAACAACAACAACTACTACTACTACAACAACAACTACTACTGCTACTACTACTACAACAGCTACTACTACTACTATTACTACCACAACAACTACTACTACAACTACAACAACTACTACTACTACAATAACTACTGCTAATACTACTACTACTACTACTACTACTACTACTGCTACTACTACTACTACAGATACTACTACTAGTACTATTACTACTACTACTACACCGACCACAAAAACTACTACTGCTACAACAACAACAACTAATACTACTACCACTACTACTACTACTACTGCTACTACTACTACATCTACTACAACAGATACTACTACTAGTACTATTACTACTACTACTACAACTACCACAACAACTACTACTACAACTACCACAACAACTGCTACTACTACTACTACTACAACAACCACTACTACTACTACTCCTACAACTACTAATAACATTAACTACTACTACAACTACGGCAACAATAGCTACTACTACTACTACTACAACAACTACTAGCTACTACTACTACTGCTACAATAACTACAACTGCTACTACTACTACTACTATTACTACAACTACTAAACTACTACTACAACTGCAACTACTACAACTATTACGGCTACAACTAACTAATACTACTACTGCTGCCGACTGTTACTACTTGCTGCTGCGGCAACTTACCACACAACTGCTGCTACTGCTACTGCTACCACAACAACTACTACTGCTACTACTGCTGCTACTGGCTGCTGCAATGCTGCGCAATTGCTGCTGCTGCAGCTACTGTGCTCCGCTGCTGCTGCTGACTGCTGCTACCCGGCTGCCGCGGCAGCTGCTGCAACTGCGGCTGCATGCGGCAACTGCTGCTGCTGCTGCGGCAACGCTGGCTGCTGTGCACCGCTGCTAGAGAACCGACTGCTGCTGCTGCCACTGCCGCTGCCGCAGCGAGACTGACTGCTGCTGCTGTGGCTGTGCTGCTGCGACTGCTGCGCTGCTGCCGCTGCTGCTGGCTGCTGCTGCTGACGGCAATGCACTGCTGCTGCTGGCTGCTGCTGCAATGACTGCTGCTGCGAGCTGGCTCGAAACAAGCTGCTGCAGCGAAGCTGCAAGCGAAGCTGTTTCCTGCTGCTTCTTGCTGCTACTGCCGGAACGGCTGCTGCGAGCTTTACGGCTGACTGCTGCTGCTGCTGCTGTGGCTGCTTTTGGTAGCTGCTGCTGACCGTACTTAGCTTGCTGCCGGCTGCACTGCTACTATTGCTGCTGCTGCTACTGGGCTGCTGCAATGCTGCTGCAGCTGCTGCTGCTTTCCTACTAGCGAAGCTACTGCTGGCACCGCTGCTGCTGCTGACTACTGCAAACCCGGCTGCTGCTACTGCTACTACTACTACCTTCCATGCTGCTGCTGCTGCTACTACTAATTGCTGCTGCTGCTGGCGACTGGTGTAACTGGCTGTTGGCAGCCATGTTCGGTTGCCACTACTACTGTGTTTCAAGCTTACTACTACTTCTGTGCTACTGCTACTACTACTACCACTACTACTGCTATTTACTACTACTACAACAGACAAACCGACATCTGCTGCTACCGGCTACAACTACTTCTACTACTGGCTACAGCGAGCAACTACTGCTACTGGACTGCTGCTTCTGACTGTGCTACTGCTGCTGATTCTGTGCTATTCTGTGTACTATACCAAACGGCTACTACTACTACAACTGATTACGATACTGCTGGCTGGCCAGCTACAAGCTACTACTACAACTACAACGATGAGCTGTGTGTGGGAACAGCTCTGTAAACAGCTACAACAATGCTACTGTGGCAATGACAACGGTACGGCTACACTGTTTCTTCACTACTGCTCTGCTACCACCAGCTGATCTAACTCGAAAACTACTAAACATATAATACTAAATGAAACGCTGATCATAATTAAAACATCAGACCAACTCTATGAGGTTATTGCAGAATTTATGTCCTAAAAATAAAAAAGTTGTTTAACAAAATATAATTACAATTTTCCCTCAGTTCACTATTTGTTACGCGGGAGGGGTGCAAAGAGAGGAACAGCCAGGTGATGATCAGTGTTTCATTGAGTATTATATGTTTAGTAGTTTTCGAGTTAGATTGCAATTCATCGGTCCGCTTTTGGCGTCAAACTGACTGTAGAACAACGTACTACTACTATTTCTACTACTACATATTCAATATGTATTCAGTGCGGAATGTCACTGGCAGGAGTTTATACTTTCCTGAGCAGGATTGTATCAACTATCGAATCTACACACGCACGCACGCGCGCGCGCATGGGCGCAACACACGCATCCGTACACACAGTGTCACGCTCACTCGCGTGCGTTCACCATAAAATGTTGACATTATTTGAAGTAAATAACAGAGATAATCACTTACATAATCCCCGACGTGTCTTGCAGAAGGCAGGTAACTGCAACGACAGCAACTGCTAGACTGGACAACATCGTCGACTGGAGTGTTTTGGGTGGGAAACAAATTCACTGTGTTTTAAAGGGCAAAGTCACGTGTATGGCACGTCGAGGTAGGCGTCAGTCGCTGTTGTCGTCGTCGCTGCGGCAACACCTTGGTGGGTTTGGTTACGTAATTGTACCCGCACAGCCATTAAGATAACAATCTTCCCCATACATCTGATACCCCTTCCATGTGTGATATACGGTGAAGGGTTACATAGAATATATATCAATTACTATGTTCAGATACAGATATAACGTTGTTATTCACAATAACACATCATGTATGTATATGTTGTTTTAGGGTTTTTTTTTGGTATTTTTTGTTTGTTTCCTATTTTAATTTTTTTTTCTTGTATGATTATGATTATACAATTTATTGTTTGAAACCTATGTTTTATTTCCTTGTGCAGCTTAAAACAATTTGACCCGTGAAGAATTGGTCTTCAGCAACCCTTGCTTGTCGTAAGAGGCAACTAACTCTGACACATGTCATCGTATCCCAATTGCGCAGATCGATGCTCGTGCTGTTGATCACTGGTCCAGACTCGATTATTTACAGACCGTCGCCATATAGCTGGAATACTGCTGAGTGCGGCGTAAACAAACGCACGAATAAAACAACTTCTCAATAATATGTACAACATTCAATATGAATTTGAGAAGTCAGAAAGATTTTATAGAGGCGGAGTCATGATAAGAGAAATTAGACGTAAGTTATGACATAGTATTGAATATTTTTGCATGATATCTACACAACTAAACAACACTGTACCTTCATGTACAACAACTACTACTACAACTACAACAACAACTTACTAAACAACACTGTACATTCATGTATTTACATTAACTGAGATATTTGAATCCACCTAAACCTAATTTGATTTTAACGGACAGTTTAGTATCACACCGTCTCATTGTACAATACCACGTGGTAACAGTATACTCAACAACAAAAAGAAACTTCACGTCAGAAGGCGGATCCAGAGGGGGGTTCAATTTGTTTTTTCCTGAAAGTTTATTAAATGACCACTGAAACTCGGGGGAAAATTAAGTGTGCACACACACAAAACACACACACAAACACACAAACACACACACCCTTTCTCAGAAAGCTGTATCCGCCCCTGATTATATTGTAAATGTGTAGTACTTGGTGTAGATGAAAGCGTAGTAGCATGTGTTGGGAGAGTAACGCCACGGGTCGCGCAGAGGGAAGAGATAAAAAAGGTGGTTGAGCTGATCGCCAGAATGTTTGGCAAATCAAAAGTTTAACCTCTCGACTGTGGAGCATGTACCGTCACGTCTAAATGGCGACACTTAAACAAGATCTTCTTACATGAACTACACTACGTAACAGATTACAAATCTGCCCCTGTTGTCCGTAGAAAATTCTGTACGATTATAATAAGGTGGATTTCAACATATACTGTTGAAAAGCCGCTCCATGCTGCCTGCCTCAAACCAAGGCGTCCTGTAAGGGGTAAAGACTGGGATGGAATAGACAACACAGAGGACAGGGTGTTCCCCAATGGCGTTACAGACGAATCAAGGTTTGCCTCCAATCCACAGATACCAGACTACCGTTGTTGGCGACGTGTCAGGTCTGGACAATGACCAGTATGAGGTTGCAGTGCGATTGTTGGGGACGCTATCACTCATGGCAGGCTAACTTACTTGTTTTGTGAATGAACATCTGATTCTCTAGCAATAAGATAACGAAATGTTCAAATTATAGGCAACAATTTTGAATTGCAATATGACAGATCACATGGTGCCCGGGTCCTTTCTCGACAGATGGACAAAACTGAATGGTAGAGTCATCTCGTCGTCAGACACTGTCTGGACCTGGCGGGTAACAAGCACAACCTCTGTTTTCTCGTTAGTTATTTCAGCATCTGCTGTGTAATCCGAGTTGATGTTGTGTGTGCAGGGTTAGTCTGGTGGGAGGATTATGGCAGATCCCAAGAGTTGATGTTGTGTGTACAGGGTTAGTCTGGATGGAGGATTATGGCAGATCCCAAGAGTTGATGTTGTGTGTACAGGGTTAGTCTGGCGGGAGGATTATGGCAGATCCCAAGAGTTGATGTTGTGTGCGCAGGGTAAGTCTGGCGGGAGGATTATGGCAGATCCCAAGAGTTGATGTTGTGTGTGCAGGGTTTGTCTGGCGGGAGGATTATGGCAGATCCCAAGAGTTGATGTTGTGTGTGCAGGGTTTGTCTGGCGGGAGGATTATGGCAGATCCCAAGAGTTGATGTTGTGTGTACAGGGTTTGTCTGGCGGGAGGATTATGGCAGATCCCAAGAGTTGATGTTGTGTGTACAGGGTTAGTCTGGCGGGAGGATTATGGCAGATCCCAAGAGTTGATGTTGTGTGTACAGGGTTAGTCTGGCGGGAGGATTATGGCAGATCCCAAGAGTTGATGTTGTGTGCGCAGGAAGGTAAGTCTGGCGGGAGGATTATGGCAGATCCCAAGAGTTGATGTTGTGTGTGCAGGGTTTGTCTGGCGGGAGGATTATGGCAGATCCCAAGAGTTGATGTTGTGTGTGCAGGGTTTGTCTGGCGGGAGGATTATGGCAGATCCCAAGAGTTGATGTTGTGTGTACAGGGTTTGTCTGGCGGGAGGATTATGGCAGATCCCAAGAGTTGATGTTGTGTGTACAGGGTTAGTCTGGCGGGAGGATTATGGCAGATCCCAAGAGTTGATGTTGTGTGTGCAGGGTTTGTCTGGCGGGAGGATTATGGCAGATCCCAAGAGTTGATGTTGTGTGTGCAGGGTTTGTCTGGCGGGAGGATTATGGCAGATCCCAAGAGTTGATGTTGTGTGTACAGGGTTAGTCTGGCGGGAGGATTATGGCAGATCCGAAGAGTTGATGTTGTGTGCGCAGGGTAAGTCTGGCGGGAGGATTATGGCAGATCCCAAGAGTGGATGTTGTGTGCGCAGGGTAAGTTAGGCGGGAGGATTATGGCAGATCCCAAGAGTTGATGTTGTGTGTGCAGGGTTTGTCTGGCGGGAGGATTATGGCAGATCCCAAGAGTTGATGTTGTGTGTACAGGGTAAGTCTGGATGGAGGATTATGGCAGATCCCAAGAGTTGATGTTGTGTGTGCAGGGTAAGTCTGGATGGAGGATTATGGCAGATCCCAAGAGTTGATGTTGTGTGTACAGGGTAAGTCTGGATGGAGGATTATGGCAGATCCCAAGAGTTGATGTTGTGTGTACAGGGTAAGTCTGGATGGAGGATTATGGCAGATCCCAAGAGTTGATGTTGTGTGTGCAGGGGAAAGTCTGGCAGGAGGATTATGGCAGATCCCAAGAGTTGATGTTGTGTGTGCAGGGTAAGTTAGGCGGGAGGATTATGGCAGATCCCAAGAGTTGATGTTGTGTGTACAGGGTTTGTCTGGCGGGAGGATTATGGCAGATCCCAAGAGTTGATGTTGTGTGTACAGGGTTAGTCTGGCGGGAGGATTATGGCAGATCCCAAGAGTTGATGTTGTGTGCGCAGGGTAAGTCTGGCGGGAGGATTATGGCAGATCCCAAGAGTTGATGCTGTGTGCGCAGGGTTAGTCTGGCGGGAGGATTATGGCAGATCCCAAGAGTTGATGTTGTGTGTGCAGGGTAAGTCTGGCGGGAGGATTATGGCAGATCCCAAGAGTTGATGTTGTGTGTACAGTGTAAGACTGGCGGGAGGATTATGGCAGATCCCAAGAGTTGATGTTGTGTGTGCAGGGTAAGTCTGGCGGGAGGATTATGGCAGATCCCAAGAGTTGATGTTGTGTGTGTACAGAATAAGTCTGGCAGGAGGATTATGGCAGATCCCAAGAGTTGATGTTGTGTGTGCAGGAGTAAGTCTGGCAGGAGGATTATGGCAGATCCCAAGAGTTGATGTTGTGTGTGCAGGGTAAGTCTGGCAGGAGGATTATGGCAGATCCCAAGAGTTGATGTTGTGTGTGCAGGGTAAGTCTGGCAGGAGGATTATGGCAGATCCCAAGAGTTGATGTTGTGTGGGCAGTGTAAGTCTGGCAGGAGGATTATGGCAGATCCCAAGAGTTGATGTTGTGTGCGCAGGAAGTAAGTCTGGCGGGAGGATTATGGCAGATCCCAAGAGTTGATGTTGTGTGTACAGGGTAAGTCTGGATGGAGGATTATGGCAGATCCCAAGAGTTGATGTTGTGTGTACAGGGTAAGTCTGGCGGGAGGATTATGGCAGATCCCAAGAGTTGATGTTGTGTGTGCAGGGTAAGTCTGGCGGGAGGATTATGGCAGATCCCAAGAGTTGATGTTGTGTGTACAGGGTAAGTCTGGATGGAGGATTATGGCAGATCCCAAGAGTTGATGTTGTGTGTGTGCAGGAGTAAGTCTGGCGGTAGGATTATGGCAGATCCCAAGAGTTGATGTTGTGTGTGCAGGGTAAGTCTGGCGGGAGGATTATGGCAGATCCCAAGAGTTGATGTTGTGTGTACAGTGTAAGACTGGCGGGAGGATTATGGCAGATCCCAAGAGTTGATGTTGTGTGTGCAGGGTAAGTCTGGCGGGAGGATTATGGCAGATCCCAAGAGTTGATGTTGTGTGTGCAGGGTAAGTCTGGCGGGAGGATTATGGCAGATCCCAAGAGTTGATGTTGTGTGTACAGGGTAAGTCTGGCTGGAGGATTATGGCAGATCCCAAGAGTTGATGTTGTGTGTGCAGGGTAAGTCTTGAGGGAGGATTATGGCAGATCCCAAGAGTTGATGTTGTGTGTGCAGGGTAAGTCTGGCGGGAGGATTATGGCAGATCCCAAGAGTTGATGTTGTGTGGGCAGTGTAAGTCTGGCGGGAGGATTATGGCAGATCCCAAGAGTTGATGTTGTGTGCGCAGGGTTAGTCTGGCGGGAGGATTATGGCAGATCCCAAGAGTTGATGTTGTGTGTACAGGGTAAGTCTGGCTGGAGGATTATGGCAGATCCCAAGAGTTGATGTTGTGTGTGCAGGGTAAGTCTGGCGGGAGGATTATGGCAGATCCCAAGAGTTGATGTTGTGTG